GTATAAATTTAACAGAATCTCACATTGTAAGAGCTAACAAAATTTTGACTTGATTATTTAACTTGCACTTTTTTTCATTATTAAACAGAACACTTAAAACCAAAAAAGAAAAATATGTTCGCACACATACCTTTGCATTTTAGCTGTATTTGAATTTAAGATTAAGTAAGGGCATAGTTTGCTCAAATTTAAAAAAATTTGGCAACGTATCCACCTAGCCCGATTTGTGGTAAGTAAACAGTATGCAAGCTGTAAATTATTAATATTATTTAATATATAAGTGCATGATATCCATATATAGTAAATTTCTGTGATTTTAAGATGATATTAGTCTTGAAGTAAGCATTCATAAATGAATATTATTGAGTTTCGTTATTGTTCGTTATTATTAAAGAACTTGTAACAAAACAATTAATTTATATTATGTTCTCCTCGCCGAAAATCCTAAAGTGGGATTCAATTTACAAGTCGCGTGTGTCGGATTCCGTAAACAGAAATATTATAGAAAAAATCAACTCATATTATACAATTTTTATATAAAAATTTTTATATGACCAATAATTCACATATTTACCCTATAATTGTGAATATATTTTTATCTTATGAAATATTTTTTCTTTTTATACTTCCTCGATATTTTCCTTTTTATAGTTGTTCTTGTTATTGTTGTTACTGTTGTTGTTGCTCTTGTTATTATTATTATTATTATTGTTTTTCTTATTATTGTTATTGTCCTTTAAACGACAGGGTAATTAGGCCATATATTATATATATATATATATACATATATATATTTTATATTATATATTAAATTAAATTTATCTATTCGGCGATGATAAGAGTTATTATACAGAAAATTACTTTAAGAAAAAAAAAACACCTGTAAATAAAAATTAATATGATTTTATATTTTAATATATACAAGTATATATTTTATATTAATATGTGTAAATATTTGTGATTATTTGAACATAAATATTATAAAAGAGGATGTGAAATATATGCACATGTACGTATATATGTATGTATATAATTTAATATGTACACAGTAATTAATTGATTATGTCATCTAATTGAATTATTGATACTATATTATTAATTGGCAGTGATTTTTCTTCAAATATATTATTATAATTATTATTATTATGGCATATGTATGTACATTCCGCACATGTGAATTGGAATTTTTAAATTGAATATGAATTTCAAATAAATAATCGAATATAATTTCTGTACAAAGAGGAACAATATATATATAAAGATAGATACATGTAGATGTCTGACGTAAAAACACACTGTACATATACATACATGTCTATACAATAAATTTGGAAAATATTTTAAAGTCTAATTATATACAATAATATTTAATTGCTCAAAATCATTTTAAATATTTTATTATTTTTATAAATATAAACTTAATTTTCTTTTATCATAATTTTCACTTTTTTTTTTAAAAGTCCTTTTTTCATATGGAAAATAAAACAAAAAAGAATTGTATGACATATAAACATTTATTATATATATATATATATATATATATATATATATATATACATATATTTATGATATACACCTATATGATATATGAATAGGATATAACCTATTGCAACTTATTCTCGTTATTATCTTTTATACCCTTATTCATAATTCCTCTTCAAAATCATATACATATATAATTATGTATACTTATTACAAACACTTGAACTATAATAATAAGTAGATATATAAACATAATTACCGGTATTTAAAACTCTTATTTATAAGTATAGTATGAGTAGATTTTTTTTTGCTATTTGAGAATCCGATATTTTTACATTCAGATTACGAATTAGTATCTATATATAAATATTTCTTATATTATAACATATATACATATGTGATATTATTTTATTCTTAAAACGCTAAAATCCGTATACAATATTATAATGTTTATATAAAATATTATTATATTTAAGCTGAAATACTTGTACAATATTATATAATTCATTATTATATTATTATGTTAAATACGGTGTATACAAGGAATTTTTCTATGAAAAGATATTCTTAATAGCATATATAGAATATTAATATATACTCATATATCTATATAGTATATATACATATATATACTATATTCAATAGCTTAAGGACCAAATGCAATTTAATATGAGAAAAAAAAAGTAAATACTATATAAAGAAATTATTTTATAATTATATGTGTTCTATCAAATGTATTACAATATTTATATATACATATGCCATATATATTATGTAGATATATTCAAAATTTATATATTAATATAATTAGTATATTTATATAGATAAATTAATTATCTATAAATATTATTACATATATTATGTAATTATTATGCTTAAAAGCACTTGCAAGGTCTTCAATTATTAATTAAAATTAAATAATATATTATGTACGCACTTCTTATATATATGTACATATATTTATAAAAATAATTATTATTCCTTTTAACAGTTCAACTGTGAGAAAATAGAAAATTTTTCTTTTATTATATTTATAATTTTCGATAAATTAAATTAATAATATAGAAAATAGTTATTATTCTCTATTAATACTAAAAATAAGATTTTATAAAATTTGTATTATCAAAAAAAAAGACTAGTGAATAAATTAAATTATTTTCAATTAAAGGATATGGTAAAATTTAAGATAGTTATAAAAGCTTTTTAATAATACATCTACAGACATACATTTAAGTGAATAATTATAACTAATATATAATCTCTAACTTGCACTTGTCTTGTATAACACATTTTTATGTGTTAATCAATATTGAATACGGTACATTAATTTTTAAAGATTTAAGTAGAAACTTCTAAATTTCTGCATTGCTTGCAGATTTTTTATAAAAATCTGGCCACGGTAGTATTACTCTAAAAAATACAGATTAATTTTAATCTTAATTTTAATAAACTATTTTTGCCCGCTTATTGGTGCTGTGTGAATCTAAATTTCAGCTGAATCATATTTGGGTGAAAATTGAGACGATTTTTTTCCACTAATTAATGAAAACGAACAAAACTCTCTATTTAGAACCAAATTCCCATTTTTCTGCAGGTATTTATACCAAAAGCTTGGTAGCATCCTTAGAATTTAAAAGAAACTGTTAAAGAATATTTTCATAATTCTATGCAACCCTTTCTTCAAACCAAAAAACTCATTTTAAAATTAGTTATGTGTTAACAAAATTAGTTGATTTAGACTTAAAGACTTAAACAAATAAAAAATCCTTAACTCATGTTTATAAATATTACTTAAAAATTTCAAACCATTTTACATTTATTACAAACCGCAATGACAAAATATTGTAAACAATGAAAGAACAGCAAAAAATTTTGCAATCTCCATTTCAAGACCAAAATTTTCATAGGCTCAACTGAAAAAAATAATTGAATACGAGAACAATTTTATAGAAAAAAAAAATCTCTTTCAAATCAAAAAACTATAAAACTGTTTTTAAATAAAAGAGAATTTTTAATGACATACCACACGCTGTCACACATAATTCAAAAGAAAAAAACATAGTAGCTTTAAAAATTTGTTATAAGGTCATTGATTATAAGTCAAGGTCATCTTTGTGCATATGAAATTTTAGCATGAAAGGAAATTATAATTAAAATTTTTTTTAATTTTCCAAATACAAAAAAAAAAATCCTTTTCAAATTTATAGTCAAAAACTGTACGTATGTATGTGTACGTATGCTTTATGATTATTTACTGTACATAATATGATGAATGCAGTTTATAATGTTACATAACACAAAGAGATTTGAATTACCATGTAAATAAACTAATAATGTGAATTTGCTTTGCCCCTATTGAAAATACAAAAAAAAAATAGTTTTTATTTATACGCTTCGAGCATGTTAATTGTTTTTAATTTGGTTCTAATGTATGCATATTTCGAAAAAAATTTCCAATACAACTAAAACTGCAACATTGAATAAAAAAATTTTTACTAACACAATAGTAAATTCTCGGATCTAGGCGGGAATAGAAATAGATCATTTAAGGTCGTGCTGCATCATCGCCCCGTTCTGCAATCTACAATGTACAATCTACAAATATAAATCTAAGGTTTTCGTAAACATAATTTTAGCCGAACTTGAGATACAACATAGTAACAGACCTATACAGAATTATGTTCCCAGAAATTGCTGATAATACTTCAGCATAAATATTATTATCGACAAAATGTTATTTCTTGTTTTATTGCAGTAGGTATGATATACCAGAATCATACATAACACGTGTGATTGAAGCGAAAATTGTTCAAGTAAAAATTCATGTCGATCATGTTTAATTCTAGTTGGAGTTTTACTTAGAAAATTTTTGAAGGAGATCAAATAGCTATTCGATAATAATGCAATTAAAACAGATATACGTATAAAGACGACATCCTGCTTAACATAATAATACACTGACAAGAAAAAGTCTGTTTAAATTATTTGCATACTTATTTAATACATGCAAAGCGGTCGACTAAAATTGATCAAGATTTTTTGTATAATATTATATGTACGTGCCAAATATCTTGCATAAATTAATTAAATACAAAAAAATATTTTAATTTTGAAGAAGTTGATAGGCACTAAGTAATGTCAATATTAAAACATTTCATACTCTTTATTCAAAAATTTAAATAATGAATATCTTTCGGCAATAAAACATTAATAAATGAAATTATTTTCTGTACAAATTTGAAATATTTAAGCAAAAGCACTACACACCTGAATTTTATTAATATTCTCGGATATTTGAGAAAAACTTTAGAACAACCCTTATTTTTAGTACTTTTCATTTTAAATTTTTATAATATTTTATAATAAATACAATTGGCATATTATATTTGATTAAAAATAGAAACGTCAAAATGTTTTGTTTTTTTTTGTTTTCTTAATTTTCAGAGAGGAATACAGAATGACAAAATAATTTTTACAGTTTTTTAATTACCGCAAACATAAGTGCATCATACTCAAACTATAATTATTTAAGTGTATATATCATCATACATGTTGCAAATCTAAAATTAGCACATACATTTTTTTTTTTCTTTACTTTTTAAAAAAATTATAGAAAAAATATAAATGATAAGAAAAAATTAAAATAATGATTAAAATTATAATTACATTATTATTTGGTATTAATTTATCAATTGGTCAAATAAATATTGGTAAATAATTTTATAAAATTTAATAAATTAAATAAAGGAGGAAATGTTGTGGTATATATATATATATAAATTTATTTCAATCAAAATGTATAATTGGGTCAACAAATTAATTTCATAAATCAGGTGTAATTACAGTTATTACCACATTTACAAGTATATTTACAATTATGTGTACGGACTATGTGTATATAGGCAATATATACAAGTATGATAAAGAAAGTTATTGAAAAATTAATAAAATAATAATAAGTGTAATCAGATATTATGTGTAGTTAAAAATTTTACTTGAAATTTGAGTAAAATTCAATCGTATTTAAAAATATTTTATTATTGGTGAAATTTGAATGGAAATTGCTAAAATATCAGCATTATAGCCGTATAATTTTGAAAATTTATAAATTTTATTAAAAATTATTCTCTAAATGGTATGATTATTCCTTCAGACACCAACGAGTTTCTTATTTCTCATTAGTTTGTCATTATAGTTTTCTTATATAATTTCTGTTTCAAACAGTTGTGCGTGTATTGTCGGACATTTTGTTAAAGAAAACTGTAATTTAATTGCCGTCAAGCGTTATTTTACTTTAAAAACTCTTTAATAAAACACTCACACTGTAAGAATTTATTCTCACTTATTATGAAAAGCATATAACGTGCGGTTATTAAGACTGATAAAGTCAACAATTTTTACTAAAGATTTCCTTGCTTTCACGCAACTCAATACTTTCTGTGCCCAACAGAATGAACTTCCCGATACTTTTAATATATTTTTCTTTAAAACATTTTTATATTTAATACCTGTTGAAAATCATTTACACCTTCCATATTGTATGATTCATTCAAATAAAATCATTGAACAAGTATTTTAATAATATGCTACAATTTTCACACCAGAAATCAAAAACTCATATATAGCTACATAGAGTATTTAAAAATATTCAAATTATTTTGTGATTAAATAAAATGTTCAATTTAATACAATTGAAATGAATAAAGTAATTTAATTTAAAAATTTTTAATAATGTTGTATAAGACCTTTTTTTTTTATATTCATTACACATTTTCAACAACAATTATTTGAATATCTTTTTTTTATATAAAAAGTGTTTACGCAAAACAAACATACAATATGTGCGTATATTAAAGTTAATATATATTATATGTATAATATCGTATATATAATATATAGGTATGAATATAAGTATGTAATAATATGCATAATTGTATTTAAGTGGTTATTGTATAAATTTTTATTACTCGAAATTATGGTTTTTAAATAATTCAATTTAGATGCTTCAAATTTTAAGAGGAAAATTTTCAGATGAAAATTGAATTATAAGTATATATACATATATATGTATTTATGTATGTAGTCATTTATTAGTAATCGCATATTGCGGTTATTTTGTGTTCTGCCACTTGTAAAAATAAATTATAATTGTGTAATAAAATTAATAATATCATGAAAATAGCTTAATAGAATTTTTTTATAATAAAAAAATTTAAGTATTTAAATATTGAAACTCTATATGTATACATGTGTGCATATATATATATATATATTAAGAAATAGTATGTAAACACGTGAAATTTATGAAAATATTCACAAAATTGATCAAACAGAAATACATACATTCTCTGTCAAGTAAAATTTATTTAACAACTTTCAACCCCAGCCGACAGCCAAATTTTCTAATTTTTTCAATCCTAGAAGGGATATAAGGCTGATATTATAGGAGTCATGTCTCAGTTTTATAAAATAATTTAAGTTTTGCTAGGCCTAGTCATCTGCCTAGTTTACCTTTATGTTCAAATATTTAAGGTTATATGATGTTTGTCGTTTATTTCAAGATCCAGTATTATAATAGATAATATTATGGTATAGAACCTTCAGTTCAAGAACCAATTACAAAAAAGTAATTTTTTTTACAGAAAACAACTTGCAAATTAGTAAAAGAACACTTCCTACTGCTGATGTTACAATTACATATTAAATTTAATTTCTTCCTACAGAATGAATCATAAAATCTGTACGATATCTGTTTCTAGGAACATTTCAAATGTATAACAATTTTAAAACTGCTTTGATGCATGTTTCTTATATTGTAACATTAAAGTATTTTCTATATTTGTTACTCAATTGCTCCATAGACTCATACTCCAATAGGTTTGTTATATATTTTAAAAAATTTTTAAATTAGTAATAATTGTAGGCAAATTGTTTAGATAAGTATAATTGGTTCCAAGTTCTAAAATCAATTTAATTTCCATATAATTTCTGAATCTGACATTTTATTTTACAAAACAAAAACTTTTCTTTATACCTTTATATACCCTATATATATATACGTTCCTATCCAGTAAATATTCAAAATCTATTATACCTTGTAAATTATTTAATTACATAGAAAATTTTCTTTTTTTATAGAAACAGTATGAGAACCTATAAAATACACATGTGCACACTATATGTATAATAGCTAGGTTTTAAAATAATTTTTAAAATTGAATTTTTAAAACCTTAATATACCAAAAAAATAAAATACGTGCATTTTAAAAATCCAAAATTTTGTATTGAATATTTAACAGAAAACACATAATCGGAACAAATACATAATGGTACCTGTATATATTGGAATTTATGTATACATGTATAAATATATTGGAAATATATACAAAAAATTATGTTATATATACATAAAATGAATTTATAAGCCATTGTACGTATTGTAAAAGTAAATAATATAGTTAAAAGTAGGCCAATAGCTATATATGTATATATATACATATTACATATTTAATATGTATATATCAAGGTATATCTATATATGTAAAATACACATTAAATAAAAGGCATCAGGTGTAAAAGTAATTAACTATTATAGGAATTACAAAATATTCTTTTTTAAGGAATTTGTGATGACCAAATTCAATTCAAAATATATATGTATGTAAACACTTTGTATATACTAACTGAATATTGTATATATATATATGTATATATATAAAATATGATGTGTGTATTTATATTTAAGAACAAATGCTAAAATATTCATATTTAAAATGAACCGAATAAAATTTAATATTGATTCTCAAAAAATTTGAATTTTAGCTACAGCTATTCAAGAAAATTAATAATTTATATATAAAATATTTTGTTAAATTTTAAATTAACTAATATTTACCAGTACTGATCACTATTCAAATAAGTTTAGTCACACTTAGCTTCTAAAACTTTAAACTGCATGCTCATTAATTTTTGCTATCCATTTGAAGGTACAAACTACTCATGAGTAATCAAAACTGAATACAACTACACAAACACAAATAAATAATTAAATTATCCATGCAGTTACATTATTTTTCGGAATTCATGTTTTTTCATGAAACTTCAATATAAACAAGTTCCACATAAACAGAAATTTTGTCACATTTCGCTATCATTGTCCATGATTTTCTGCAATAATCACTGTTGCCGCTATTTTTCTGTGTAAGACAAGGTTAAACTAATAGGTGCGGGAAAGTACTTTCTTTTAATATTTTTTCTATAAGTCTTATTTTTTGTTAGGCCTCTAAATAAATTTTTTTTGTTAAGAGGCCAAACATCTACTCGGTGATACATTTAGTTATTATATTTGATCTTTTCACACTTTTCTAATATTACTCTTAAATGACCAACAATAAAACTATAACATCATTTTAAAATTATGTTTGTCATACAAAATCATACTTGTTGTATAAGACAAAATTGCGTCCTAATACAATTTTGATTTAAAATTTTGCGTTGTACAGATCGGAATATTTTTTTGACTTAACATATGTTCAAGAATCAACAATTTATTACACGATTAACAAATAATATTCTTAAGACTTTATTTTAAATTTTCAATTTAAATAAAGAATTTTCGATATTTGCTCATAACTCTTGTACCCGAAGTAATTACAAAGGTTAAATATATGTGTACTTAAGTATTTCTATAAAAACTAAATATCTTTGTATACATTTATAATGAATATTAATAGTATATAGAAAGAGTAACATTAAAAATTTTCTGGACATACAAAGTAAATAACTAGGATTTATAAAATTCCATTTTGTATTCATCTTAAAGATTATATAAAATGTTTTATATACCTAAAACACGTTTACAAAATGTTTCAAAAAAAAAAAAACAAAAATTATTTGTTTTCTATAGCAATCTTTTGAATGACTTTTACATTTCTACACATCAACTATTATTCTAAATTATTTATTTTACATTTTAATTTATAGGTCTTGTTACAGAATCACTTAATTCTTTAGAGGAAAAAATATTTTTGAAAGCAATTGAAGATGCCAATTTAAAAATTTCAGACAATTCATTAGAGGGTAAAGTGGCTAATGTTGCCGAAGGAAATGTTTTTGATATGTCACGTAAATTATGTGATTTATTAAAGGTTTGAAAATATTTTTCAAGTACATTATGTATTATTCATTAACTATATAAGGAGCTTGTTCATTTTTAAATAGGAAAATGTTGCAATGATAATTGGTCCAACATCACCAGCTTCAGCTGAACATGCAGCTAATATTTGTGATGCAAAAGAATTACCATTTATTGATATAAGAATGGATTTTTTTAATCGAATGTCAACTATAAATCTATATCCATCTCCAAGTCAATATGCTGAAGCATTAAAGGGACTTATTGATGCTTTACAATGGTCACAATTTACAATTCTTTATGAATCTGGTATTAAAATTATATACATATCTAGAAAATAATACAAAAAAAATTATTTTTCTAAATTTTTTAGCTGGTGATGATCTTATTTTGGTTAATGAATTAGTTAAATTATTTGGAACTGATATACCACCAATAAATATTAAAAGATATGATTTAGATTTAAATGGAAATTATAAACCAATTTTAAGAATAATAAAAAAATCACCAGATTTTTCATTACTTGTACTGGGATCTACAAGAAGTCTTACAAATTTTTTAACACAAGTAAGAAATCTTAATTATTTTAAAATTTTTAATAAAACATTTTTTTCATTTTACATATTTTTTTTAAGGCTCAACAAGTTGGAATATTAACTGATGCTTATAGATATATAATTGGTAATTTAGATATGCAAACAATTGATTTAGAACCATTTCAATATGGTGAAGCAAATATAACAAATTATCGTATGATTTCACCAGAGCACAAAATTATTAATGAATTACATGAAATTTTAATACAAGAAAATGAAGCTTTACAAAATGGTAAGTTGGATATAACAAATGATAGAATGATGATAATTCAAATTGAATAATTCTAAATATTTTTTTCTGTGTAAAAAAGTAATTGTTTTAGAATATTATTTTTTTTTAAATCTATATTTAAAAAAGCTTATATAATATAAAAATATTTAAAGTAATATGAGTATATAACACTGATATTTGAACTAAACTGATATTTGAACTAAAAAATAATTTTAAACCAATTACTATATTATGTGTTGAAAATCTGTTATACTTGATTTTAATATTAAATTCTTCTAAAATATTTAAATAATTTAAGAGAAATTTAAACAAAAAAATCTGACAAAATATTTATTTATATTAAATGTTTAACAAATTATACTGTTGGTGAAATATTTGAGTGACAATGACACAAAATGTCAAATAATTGTCAAGTGTTATATACAATTAACATTTAATTTGATTTTTATATTGTATTTTGTAACCTAAGATATTAAGAACATTCTAGAAAGTAATTTTCTTAAAAAATGACATTATTATTTAATAATTACGATAGTAGTTAGCCTAACATTTCAACTAAAGATTAATTTTTACAACAATTGGTTCAAAGATATTGGATATGGAAAGCTTCTAATTTATAATTGAAAATTTCTATATAATAATTTCTATATTATAATAATAATAGCTATCACTAAACAAAATTTTGACTTCATATAGTTGATAAAATAATTTTTGATTCCGTCATCGGGCCCTGATATTAAGTGTTAATCGAAATTAACACAATTTCCAAAAAATAAATTTTACATCTAAATAAATCTCTTCATATACTTAATAACTAAAATATTACAAGAATATTAAAATTCCTACCATTTCTATAGTTAATTTGCATTGAAATTTCTTTAGTTCTTATAAATTATTAAATTGACGTATGCTAGTCTCATGTTCGTCTCAAAGGAGAACAATTCCATTGTTTTTTTTCTTTTCTTTTCTTTACATTTTCTATATAAAAATTATTCTATATTTATATTATAATTTTTTGTAACAAACATCATAATTTTTTGAAAAACACGGAAAAATTTCATGATTGTTGTATTACACATTTATTTTTTTCATTCATTCTGTTATATATGGCATATAAATCTTCTTATATACATAATATATATGTATATATATTATAATAAAAATCATGTTGTTATAGTAGACACTTTACATAATTTTTTATCCTCATGAACATAATGGTATAATATTGGTATATATATATAAAAAAAAATATAAATGTACATAAAGCTTTTGTTCAACATTATCCACAAAATTGAGGTTTACTTAAAAATTTTTTAATTTAGTTTTACGTTGAACACTGACAATGCATAATTAATACAAAGAATTTTTATATTTTCTATACAGTCTGATTCAATATATAAAACCTTTTAGGTTTTATTTTGGTTTTACCGGTAATTGTAATTGTTGGTTTAACCGACCATTTTATATAATATTATATAATTAGAGAGAAAATCAGTATTTATTGGAAAAATTCCAATTTATAAATTAATTTTTTAGTGTAATTGGAACGAAATCCTAAAAAATGTGCTAATTATTTTATATACTCGCTTCCCCATCAGTTTATTTCTCCTAGGGGTTGTTTGTTCCGCAATAGTTCATTATGCTGTTGCGTAGGCATTCTGTTAAAGTAAGAAAATAATTTTTCTATTAAAATAGAAAGACGACGACTTAATTCTTTAACGAAATAGCATTGAAAAATATGAGGTAACTGTTTTTTAAATAAATTTTTCAAAAATTTTCTCAATTTTCTCTTAAATGGCAAACTGTTAAAATCGGAAATTTTAACAGTTTCCAAATATTAATAGATTATTTATTATTATTAAATTTTAGTTTAAAATATTGGCTTACATCTCAAAATAAACAAGATCTTAAATTATTTCTTCGAAACGTTTTCGTATTTCTACAAAAGCTTTATAATGAAAATGTCTTCTTTTCTTAGTCAATATTCCTTGTATTTTTGTTTATCCCCTATAAGTATGCAAAATATCTTTAAATATGCATTTAATAATAAAAAGAATTAGTTTTTGGGTCACTTTGGAATTAGTTCAATAAAAGAAGAAAATTAGAGAGGAAAACTAAATTTTCAAGGAATTGATTAAGTCACACATTATCTACAAAGAAGTACTTATTCCATAGGATCAATCCTCCAGAATGTGATCCTTTCTGTAGTAAGATTCTTTTGATGAGAAATGTCATTTTTACTTGCAGTAGAACCCATGCAATATTTCAAAAATATGCGGTAACTGTACCGGAAGCCTTGGTTTCAATTATGGAAAATGTCATAATAGTAAAGAAAATTATTGCGTCATTTGCTTAAAAATTACCTTCGTATATCAAAATAGTGTAAAAATAAAATCTTATAGTATTGTGTAACATTTTTATACTCTTGATATTGTTATCCAAAAATGAATCTGTAAAATAAATAATTACAGTTGACACAAGCCCTAAATATGGTCCAGTAGCCCAAAGTGTAACCAATATATCCTTATTTATAAGCTATATTTTAGATAAATAAATAAAGTTTTCAAACAAACTACTCTTCCTAAACTAGTCGTAAACTAGATTTTCCAAATTATTTTATAATTTTTTAATATTGGAAACCTATAATTTGCGAGATTTATTATGCTGTGTCATATAATAACTAATTGGAACTATTTTAATTGATTACAATTGGAAGACAAGCTTTTATCACTGTGCATTTATCAAAATCTATGACAAAATTTTTCGAAATTATTACCAGTTTAAGCTTTGACTTTCTTAAAATATTATTCAAAAATTTACCTTGTATCAATTTGCACTCATTCATTTATTCAAATGTTAAACATGGGAATATGCGGTTTAAAAAAGAAAAAGAGACTACGAAAAATGTCTTTTTGCCTTTTTTATTTTCCTTCTTTTTTTTTTATCAAAAATATAAAATACATCCTTAAAAAAAAATCAAAACAAATAAGCAAAAAGAAAATCCAAACAACAACAATTTTTATACTTTCTTAACTATTTTCATATTCAGTGACATGTGCTGTATCATCACATATGGCATTACTATATGATGGGGTTCAACTTATTGCAGAAACAATTGAATATGTGCCTGAGGGAGCTGTTGAATTAGGATGCGAAACGGATAATACTTGGGAAAAAGGATATACAATTGTCAATCATATAAAATCGGTAAGAATACGAAAAAAAAAAAAAGAAGAAAATTATAATAAAAAATATAACAGAAAGAATTTAAGAAGTCCTTTTTGAGATAATCTACATATTTTGTACACCGATTTCTACTTATACTATATAGTTCTGCATACACACTGCGCTATACTACATATATGTATTAGCAAATCTTTTTAATATAAATGTATATTTTCACATAATTATTTTCAAATAAAATAAATTATATATGTGTGTGTTTATATGATATATATTTATAAGGTTATACAAGGTGATGCTGTAAGGAGTACAATATTTTCTTTAAAATTTAAAGAATGCAAATGAAATTTTTCTTGTTTTATCCGTTGCTAGGAGAAAAATATTTTGATATTCCACAAAACTAATTGAAAAATTTTAACTTGAATTTTTTTATCTTATAATGCTAATCATTCCGAAAGTGTGCAAGACACGGAATTAAGTAATACCCTAGGTTCTATTCAATTCTATAAAACTGGGGTTATAGCTAAACGAATTTTGAAAAATATTAGCAAAATTTTTTTAAAATCTTTATACTCGTATTAATCAGATCCTTGAGTCATACGACATTACCTCTAAATAGAAATTCAACTCCCATTTTTGATTATTAAAGCGGTAGCATATAATGTTGTACTTTTACAAAATCACCCTGTATATTGAAATTCTGAATGAATTTTGATTTTGTTTTCTTTTTTGTTTTATGTTTCTAAAATATGAAAACAAAAAAAAAAATTATAGCTTATTATCGATGGTATAACTGGAAAAATCGAATTTGATAATGAAGGTGTTAGAGCTGATATCATGTTAGAAGCTGTTGAATTAACAGCATCTGGTATTATGAAAATTGGTACATGGAGTTCATCAGGCGGTTATAATAATGATAGAGTAATGTCATCATCAATTTTAGAAGCTGATACACGTTCATTAGCAAATAAAAGTTTTGTTGTTATAACAGCTCTGGTATAATTAAAAAATATTTCAAATTTTTTAATTAAATAAATTTTAATTCAGTATTATGAAATTGTAGAGTGATCCCTATGGTATGCTAGTTGATTCTGCTGAAAAATTAACTGGAAATGATCGTTTTGAAGGTTTTGGAATTGAATTAATACAAGAATTATCGACAAGATTAGGTTTTACATACACATTTCGTTTACAAGAAGATAATAAATATGGTAGTAAAGATGCTGAAGGCAATTGGAATGGAATGATATTAGAAATTCTTGAAAATGTAAAATTTAAATTAAACTTTTGTGATTTTTGATTAAATTATTTTTAATTATTTATTTTTTATGCATATATAGAGAGCTGATCTAGGAATTACTGATTTAACAATGACATCAGAACGTGAAAGTGGGGTTGATTTTACTATTCCCTTTATGAATTTGGGTATGTTTTAAATTTTAAATTATTTCAAAAATTTATTTAATATGATTATGGCAAGTTTGTGACACCGGTACAACCGGTTTTCATCAGGCAACAACTCTCGTACTCTTCTCTTTCAATTTTATTAGAAAGTTTATGTAAATATAAAAAAAAAAACAAAGAGAAAGAAAAACAAAATAAGCAAAAACAAAAATATCTCAAAATTTTACTTTTTGATAATTGAATGAAGTTATGCTTTACAACAGCACTACATACGGATAATAGATGCATTAACGATCGTGCATCGTAATTAATAATCGCGTGAACAGAAAAACTTAATTTTTTTATATCAAAATATTTCGTGTGTTATCATTTTAATTATATTTATACTTACATATATATAAAAATTATTTCTAATTACATTGTATACATATTTACAATTCGTATATACGTACATATACGTATTATAATTTACATTAAATAAAAATTACCAATTTTTTGTTTTTTCAATATTTTTATTAAGCTTCGAAAGTATTGGTATCATTGGTGTACGAGTTTGAACGGAAATATAACATAACTTGATTTTTCGGTATTAATAATAGAAGTTAAAAATTTATTTTTAAGAAAAATTTATTGTTAAATTTGAAGAAATACGATATTAATATGAGATACGACTGATATGAATACGATATAATTAATTAATTAATTAATAGAAATTATACTACAGTGCTTTTATATTACACACCAAAAATTAATTCAAGAACTAAAGTTTAAAATAATAAATATAATTTTAAAAATATATTAAATTTAATTAAAATTGTTATATCGTAAATTTTGGCTATAATATTTTTGTTTATCATATCAACATTGGTGATTTAAATTGTTATTCTCTATTGCTGAACTCTTGTTAGTGAAATCCACACTTGAACTCGTACTAATGAACCCAACTCGAACTTGTGGTAGTGAATGTTAGGAGTTCTGTATATGTTTTAAATTTTCGAGCTATGAAGTAATTACTTTTGGGGTTGCTTCGCACTTGGTCCTATAATTATTTATGCAGCTATAACCAAGTTTTGTCGAAATAGTAATTGTGCTACCAGACTCATTAATAAAAAATTTAGTAATCGTATGCCTAATGTGTAAAAATTTGGTTATCCTACCGCAGCGAATGACAGACGTACGATCAGAAATAACTAAATCGATTCAGAATTCAACGATGAGCAGGAACATATGTTTAAAGAAGAATGTGTGTGTACTATATCAGACCTTCTAAATTATTTTGGCTCTAAAGAGGAAGGGGAAAAGAGAAATCCACCGGTACCAAGAACTGCCTAAATGGGCTAATTGTATACCTCGGAGGATCGAGTTAATTTAACCAATCATAAGATCATATCTGCCTGCCTGCCTTGGCAATTATTAACAACCACCTTAAATTATTCTTGTTTAGTTTTTCCAACTTTTTGAAACATTTAGTTTTATACTAGATCTCCATTGATTTCTCTTCAATATTCATTTAACCAATACATTTACTCCATTACCCGGTTTTAATTTGCGAACTAATCGGGCGAAATATGCATACAATAATACGAGTATTCACGAACCATTTTTTAATTTTTTTTTAAAATTTATAGGAATAGCGATTTTATACACAAAACCTAAGAAAGCACCACCAGAGGTAAATACATTTTTCACTCCATCTATTTATCTTTTTATAATTTGAATTAAATAATAATTTATTTTTAATATTTTAGCTATTTTCTTTCATGTTACCATTCTCTGGTGAAGTCTGGGGTTATTTAGGTGTTGCTTATTTAAGTGTCTCAATAAGTTTATTTATTTTGGGTAGATTATCACCTGTGGAATGGGATAATCCATATCCTTGTATTGAAGAACCAACTGAACTAGAGAATCAATTTAGTTTTGCGAATTCAATGTGGTTTACAATTGGTGCTTTATTACAACAGGGATCAGAAATTGCTCCAAAGTAAGAAAATATTAAATAATTAACACATACATCCACACATCCTGAAATTCGAACGCAATATTAAAATATTAAAAAATGTTTATATTTTTTTTTTAGATTTTATTTATTATCTATGTATATATGCATATAAGTACATAATACATATATAAATGTGTGTAGAACATGAATATTTCATCTCATATAAAATATACAGCCTTCATTTAAGGATCTAATAAAATTATTAAAAATTCATAATCTTATTAAAAATTCATCACATTGTTTGCTTTCATCTTAACATTCACCTTCATAATCATCAATCAGTTTTAACATTCTTAAATCAAAACGATTTACACACAACTAAGGAGAACTAAGTAAAGGTAAGTCTTATAAATTTTCGTTGAAACACTGCTTTTTTTTTAACGTGACACTTTTAAGTAAAATTTCAGGTCATTGATTATTAAAGTCTATGAATAATGTGATTTTTTTCTCTCTTGTTTTTTTCTTTTCGGAAAAATTTCAGAAACTTTTTTCTAATATTTCAAATATAAAAAGTTATTAAGGAAATTTTGGAATGTTCTTGACATTGAAAATTTTTTTATCTCCAGTTAAATGTTACCTTCAGTAAAACAAATCAATTTTCGTGTTCTACTTAAAAAAATGTGAGTTCTATTATAAAATGAACGAAAATAAGTAGAGTAAATCGTGTCAACCCGGCAGGAGCCTCATAAATGAGTTAGTGAATGATGTGGGTTGTATGATAATTTCCACACTGCTTCAGACAACCTTGTATTTATTTTTTATACTGGCTTTATTTTTAATGTAAGAAGTGATCAATTTCAAGGAACCAAATTTTTTTTAATAAGGTTAAATTACTTTTCAAGTTGTATGCTAAACCTTAATATATATGGGTACGAAATTGGAATACTATACCGGCAACTACCCAAATCACTTTCTTGACCATATACGAATTAAATGTGGTTTTGGCATTAACTGTGTATATAATAAATATACGAATTAAATGTGGTTTTGGCATTAACTATGTATATACTCGTAATAAATTATTTTAGAAAACTTGGAGAACGTAATTCAATTATCTTATCAACACTGAATAAACGAAACGACAGATATGACTGAATCAACTCAGAATTCAATAATAAAAAATAATGTATAAGTATGTTCATGCTCATATGTCAGTCCGTAATTTCTTATGATTCGAAACGGAGTGGTAAATTTAAAATATATATCTTTCGAACATACTTTCGTACGAGATAAAAATACAAATTCGAAAAATTTTAGTAGATGTATAATAGCATATTAATATTATTTCGAAAGTTCGAGATAGGAAAGTAATTCCGAGGCAGAATTCTGAATTTCCCTTAGGTAACGCGACAGATCTGGAACTACTATCTATAGATATAGTATAAACTCCATTTCAAAACGTGAAGAATTTTGTTTCTGTCAAATTATCGTGAAGATTTTTCCACTTAAATGCAAAATTTCAAAATTTTTGGATTATTTCTTCAATTACATTTTCTTTAACTACCCTGTTGTTATTTGGAATTATACGTAAATTTTCCTTAATAACAAAATTCACCACCCAACACATAATTACATTTTTTATGTATTTGAAAATTATTATATTTATATTTTAGATTTATATACATAAAATAAAATAATTTCAATATCAAATCTAAGAAATCATCTAAAACGAATTAATTTTTCAGAATTCATTTTAATTACGTCAAACCCTAAAAAAAGGATTTCTACACACCGTACTCATATAATATAAAATTTTAAATGTATTAATTATGTTTGAAGGTGTATGACCTTGACTTTCAATTTAATTCATTTTAATTATAATATTCATAAATATTTTATAATCAATCTATAATTCTAAGATTTTTAATTTTTAATTTCTATCTTATTTATAGCATGATTTTTTTTAAATTATACAGTCACGGGTATTTTACGCAGGCAAGAAAGAAAGAAATTTATTCGTCTTAAACGGGTAGAAATAATTATCGAAGATATATGTTTACAAACCGAGTATATCCCAACGATAACTGAAAAATTGATTGAGATTTGTAAGCTCATCAAATTTCATGTAGTTGGGATCGGAATAGTTATTCGAGGAGCTGCAAAACTTAAATTTTATAAAACTGAATTTATTTATGCTTCTAATAAATATTCTCATCTAATAAATATCTCATTCTAATGAGATCCTCCATATAATTTTAAAAGAAATTTTAACAAATCTTATAAAAAGTTCAAGTTAAAGCAGTCAAACAGTTACAGCATTGTTTGAAATCGTGATTCAAGTGAGATTTCTCACATTTGCAAATCATGAAATCAGTAATTCGTGCGGTTACTCCAGATTTGATGAAATTTCTATAATATACCATTACATGTTTTGGTTTAAAAAAAAATTAATTTCTATATTTTGTTATTCAACAAAATTATCTAATAATTTTTCAAAATTTATCCAAATTTTTCAAATTGCAAATTTTATCCTAAAATTTCAATGAAATTAAATAATTATTTTTATAAAATTTAAATTAAAAAAAAAAATTTTTTTAGAGCTTCATCAACACGAACTGTTGCATCAATTTGGTGGTTTTTTACACTAATTTTAGTTTCATCATATACTGCTAACTTGGCTGCATTTTTAACAGTTGAAAATCCTGTTACTATTATTGAAAGTGCTGAAGATTTAGCTGCTAATAAAGGTGGTGTACGATATGGAGCAAAAAAAGGTGGAAGTACATACAATTTTTTTAAAGTAATTTTTTATTTTTATTTTTCAAATTCAAAGCCTCCTAATAATAATTGTTCTAAATTTTATATATGTATATGAAATTTAATGTGTTCGGATGATAGGATGCTAAAGATGAAACATTCCAAAAAATGTATGAATATATGAAAGATCATCCGGAACATCAACCAAGCACAAATGCAGGTTTATTAAAAATTTTATACAATATTTAAAAATTTCTAATTAAATTGCCATAACTTCTTTTTTTCTAGAGGGTGTGTCCAGAGTTGAAAATCCAAATGATAATTATGCTTTTCTTATGGAATCAACATCTATTGAATACGTAATAGAACGTAAATGTACATTAACACAAGTTGGAAAAAATTTAGATGAAAAAGGTTACGGTATTGCAATGAGAAAAAGTAAGTTGAATTTCTTCACAATTCTATATGGGTCTAATAAGGTTCTAATTTATGAAAAAAAAGGAGAAAAACTTTAATAATATTAAATTTTAGATTGGCCATATCGAGATGCTTTAAGTAAAACAATATTAGTAATGCAAGAAGACGGTTCACTTTTAAAAATGAAAAATAAATGGTGGAAAGAGAAACGAGGTGGTGGTGCTTGTGCCGTAAGAAAAATTACATTTTTTTTTCTTTTACATTTTGTACTTTTATTTTCCATTTCTCATGAAATGAAAAGAAATTCGATAGGGCGTATATTTTGTATATGTATGTATATTTTTTGAACAATTTTACGATTTCATTTTATAAAGATTTACACTCTAAATTTTTTAACATGTAGCTGTTAAAAAAAAAAAAACATACTTGAAAAATTCTATACGAATTTTATAATATCCTTAAAAACAAAAAAAAAAAAAAAAAAAATTTTTACTGAAAAATATTTAGAACAAATTTACATTGAAATTTTATTGCCTTCGTTCTTTTTATCCTTTAAAAAAATTTTCACTCTTCGACAAGATTAATTTCACTGTTTTCTTTTTCGTAAATCTCATTGAATTTTATTAAGACAGATGAAATGTACATGCTTTGGTCTTTATGACTGAAAAGAGTATATTCCTGTTAGACCATATGTAACAGGTTTTATTTTTATGAAGATTTACCACATTAATGGAATTTTTATCAAAGTTTTCTTTTGAATCGAGTCGTATCTCTTAGAATTCATAAGTAATAATTTTTGGAAAAACCGAGAACCAAAGTCATGGTTTGTGCTCTTAACAAATTTTTTTTAATAATTTTGTAAATTCAAGTAAAATTTTAAATCCAAGGCTTACAAATTACTCTTGCTTCTGCATGAGTAGATCATAAAACATTGCAATCACGTGAAATTGGAAATTCCCTGCGGAATAACAGTTTCTCGTTATGGTGTGGGTCAATTTTTCATTGCCACCTTTTATATGTGTACAATCTATACAATGATCCAAAATTTATTAATTGATTTCAATATTCATAATCAAAATAAAAAATTATAATCAAAATATTTGCTTATAAAACACTAAGTAAAATTTTTGTGTTTTAAACAACAAAGAAAAAATGTTACATGATTATACGAGAATAAATTTTTAAGAACTCTTTTTAAGAACTTCCAAATTATTTTATTTTTTAATATATTCATATTATTTTTTACATATATACATACATACTATCTTCAAAATAATTTCCATTTACATGATTATCTGTTTCTTTTTTTTTTGAAGATCACGTTATAAAATTTAATATAATTTTATGTTCTATTGAAATTTATTTATATAAAGTACTAGGTTACAACATACAAACAAAAAAAAATGTAATAAGTATATGAATTTCCAATAAATTATGTATATAAGTATTTTATAAATATATTACGATACTATTATGTAAAGCATATGGCAAGATGCGTGTCGATACAAGTATACCATTATTAAGGAATAAAATTTTCCTCACAAATTTCTTGAACATAAAAATTATACAAGCAATTCTACTATACTACTTACAATAATAATTTTCTCGAAATAATATGTTTATAATAAAAATTTATTTGAAAATATTTATTATGTAAAGAAGATTTATTTTACACATATACATATATGCATATTAAAAGATTCCAATACACTTTGTTATACAAATGAATAATTTTAGTAAAAAACCACATATAAGATTATTTTTAATGATTCTGATAAAAATAGTAATTTTCTTTAGTTTTACAAAAATAATAGCATTACTCAAAAAGAAAAATATAAAACGAGAATAAATGTAGTTGACAATGTCAACTCTGTGACACCCGTACGAATAAAATGATTTGAAATGTCAGAGATAATTGACATACAGTTTCATACAAACTCCCGATTTTTATATTTCTAGTGCTTTTTTACACATACGTGGTAGTTATCATATAAACTTATACAATCTAAAAGAGTTTTACTGAAAATGATGCCCACATCACCAAATTCGTTTTTTTAGCTTTGTACCTTCAATAGTTTCTGAGCTGTACATAAACAGATATCCGAATTAGCTATCCGAATTAAGTTGTATTGCAGCTACCCGAACCAGTACCTCAATCATTGTTCAATTTAGATAGCGTTCTGACATTTCACGGCAAATTAACGCTGACAAAAAACGTGTACTTGAGTCTATATCTCAGGCCATTATTTCGGGTATAAATACTAAGATAATTAGAAAAAAATAATAGTTTTGCAAAGTATACCACAATTCACTGGAATAAATGAAGAATTTTGCTATTAGTGAGAGTAATTAAAATACATATATAATAGGTATCTATACCCTTCCAAAAAATAAACAAACAAAATGTTATAATTCTTGCAATTAAAAGAAATCAAACAATTTGATGACAGTTTCTCTTAAAAAAGATTTTTCCTGTTACTTGTTTGCTTCAAATTTTTTGCAAAAATTTACAAAACTTGCAAATAGTAAATTTTATAATTCGGATGAATTCGATGTTATCTCAAAAATTTTTCGAATTCAACTTGTCAAACAACTTTTCCTCTAGACAAAATTTCATCCCTTACACGCGATTATGAAAGTATTTTATGGAATATTGATCAAAATATTTAGTTCATATATAATTGATTGAGTTATTACATAAAATTTATTCAAACCTTAGAAGTCAATTCCCATTTAAAATTTTATTCTATAGAAATTAAAGTTTCATCGTTAATTATCTTAATTTACTTCTCATTTTTCTATATGAGTTATTATAGTGTAATTTATTAATTCCCATGAAATTCCTATGAACAACATTTCATTTAATGTTCCACATAAAAAATTTTTCTTTCCTAAGATTTTAAGATTTAAATTACTTGGTATCATCAATAATCATTAAAGTTAGTACATAAAGAAAATTTAGAAAATTTTTATTCTAAATGAATTTCTAATAATTCATATTTCTATAAGCTTATTGTGAATAGGCAAACTCTAGAAACTAAAAAATCCAAAACTTCTCTTCTATATTTCTTTTCTTTCCAATCGTTCATAAAAAGTACTGAGAAAAATTTTGTATTCGAATTTTTTACCCCCTTCCAATTCTTATTATTGATTATGGGGGAAATGAAAATTATCATAATTTATTCCTTTTTTTTTCATAAAATTAAAAATTTAAATAAGTCCAAGAATTTAGAAATGAATGTTATTCATTAGTCAAATTTCTTTTCAAATTTTTCTTCTTTTATTAAGACTGCCCGTATTCAAATGAGAAGAAGAGTGTATAAATTCTAAAGTATAATAGTATGTGGGTATATATGTAAAAACAAGAATATAGTATGCAAAATTGCATATTTGAATGTCAAGGAGATAACACTTACATTTTATATTCCGTACTTGTATATACACAAACTCATATAGATGTGTCTATAAATTCATAATGTATGTAAATAAAACGTGACTAAATTTTAAAGTTACTAATGATAGACTTAAATCTATTCAAAAGGATGAAATTGAAAAGATTTGGTATTGTACATAATAAGGAGAGAAGTGTAATTTAGAGAAATATGACGTGTATAAATGTATATGAATCTACAGAGGAAATTTTAAATTAGATTCATAATGCAATAATTAAAATAATTTTAACATTACTCAAAAGATCGTCTCATAATTATTGAATTCTTTAAATATTATGGCACTATACAAATATTTTCAGATTAAAATTTTAAGAGAAATGAAAGAGGAAAAAACGAAGTCTTATGCTTTTACCGACCGTATTGTGTATACATTTTTTTAGGTTATGTGGTGGCAACAAATTTTGTATAATCAAGTTTTCAGTAGAATTGCAGAATAAGAGCTTAATACCCTCATGTATAGGGTATAAAGCTCTTATTCGCCAATTTTTAACCATAAACTAATTAAAACAATGAAAAAATTAAAGAAGATCCAATAAAAAATTAAAACATTGACTTTCGCATTAAAATACAATAATTCTAGTTTTTGAAAATCCCATAATATTAGAAACAAATAGCATAAATTAAATAGATTATGTAGGCCACAAAGTATGAATTATTTGTGTTGGAACACCTTCACTAATTTTCATATTAGAGAAAATAATTTCGTAAAAATTATTAAAATGATTTTGTTAAATAATTTTCAATTAATTGTAATAAATTTTTTCATAAGATTTAAAAAATATTATCAAATAATAATTATTTTCATTCTGTATACAGTATAAGTTTGATTTCTCTAAAAAATCAAAGCTATGCTCGAAAAAGACTTGATAAAATTTATTATTTTACTATTGAATAAATATAGTATAGCCTATAATTTGTACGACATTAGTGCAGACAATGATAAACTCAATGAATTCTAGTCTATTACGTGCACATAAATATATACACATATATATATACATTTATATTTGATATATTGATGATATTTGTTTAGAAAAATTACCCGACATAATGAATTAAATATTCTTTTTATAAGCCATTGCTCCTTTTTATAACTTTTATATTATTCTTATCATATTTTCTTTTTTGTTAAATACAGTGTCCTCTACTCGATACTATATACTTCCTAAGCAATAGTTGATCAATAGAATGAGCTTTAACCGAACAAAAAATAATGAGAGCTCAAAAGGGCTCATTTATGAGAGCTCAAAATTCACTTTTCAGTAGAACGTGACGGATGGAATGAACTCAATTTAAAGCTGAATGATATTCCTTCCGATTTAAAAGGCTATTTTAGTTGTTCAAAAAGTTCTAAGCGCAAAGTAAAAATTTTTAAAAACGGAGTTTTGTAGTTTTTTTTTAGTTTTTAAATATTTTTGAAAAGTGGAAAAAAAATTTTTAGCAAATACGAGTATGAATTTCATTTCCTTTCATAGTAGCTGTGTTGCAAGAATTTAAACTCAAGTAAATTTCAAAACTTTAAAATTTAAAGCAAACACTCAGTTTAAATTGCTTGAGATTATTTATTTCAAAGAGTCTCGAGGGTAATTTTTACTACGACCGTAATTTATGATTACTCCATTACAAATATTCGGAGCAGGATTTTCGTACATAATTCGGAATCGACAACATGAAATTTAGAATTTTTCGAATTTCAAAGCTATGAACGAAATTCAAGCTTGTGATTACTCGTAGCTTTTGACGGGAAGTGAAAAAAATATTAAAAACAAATTATTTTTAGAAAAAAATGTTCTAGTGCCAGAACACTCTTTATATTTGTATATATATACACAAATAATTTTTTTTCCATCTAAACAAATTTTTAATTGACCTTCTTTATACCCTTTTATCTATATTTATTTGACTCTTTTACCAGTTAGTTCCGCTAATGATTTTATCAAAAACAAAAAGCGAAAAAAACAATTTCACTTTGATAAATTGCAAAATCAGATTCTGCTTATTCGCATGAATAATCTTACATCTATTTTAGATTTTTATTTAATTATATAATCTATAAATATAATGTTATTTTAATTTATTCTTTCGAAAAAAAAACAGGACAGCGGTGCTGATAGTGGTGGAGCTGTTGCTTTAGAAATTGCTAACCTTGGTGGTGTATTTTTAGTATTAATTTTAGGATCTATATTCGCTATATTTATAAGTATTTTTGAAAATTGTTTTGCTATAAAACAAGAAGCATCTAAAAATAAGGTAACGATTTGGTTTATCATTTATTGCTAAAAAAATAAATATTGTTAATAAAATTTATTAATTTTTTTTTTTTAATTTTCTTTTTGGATTTTCTCACAACTTATATATTTATGTAGACATCTTACAAAAAGGCTATGTTCGATGAAATAAAATTTATATTCAAATGTTCCGGAAATGTTAAAACAGTGGAAGTAAATCATTCATCTCATTCTCCATCCAATGTATCCGTTGATAGCAATGATGATGATAAAAGTGTAGATAAAAATGTAAATGATAAAAAAGATAAAAATGATAAAAATGAAAAATAAATTAAGAAAATTTTAAAAAATCATAAGCTTATGCTAATAAACCAAATATTAATAGAAATTTTAATTATACAAATTAATTACTGTCCTACTTATTATTATGAAACCTTAAATTATTGTCATTATCATAACAAACCTGTATACCATTGTGAATGTTTTGAACATTCAACTTTTCAAATATAATATTAAATATTTTGATTATTAACTTAAATTTATTAATTAAATTAAAATTTTCACAATAAATTGAAATATTTTAAATAAATTGAATAATTGTTTTATTCAATTACCATATTTGAAATGTTTTAATCTTCAATCGGAAAATTCTCAAAAATTATCATTAATAAACCACACTTTATCAAACTAATTTAAAATAAACAAATCGAACCTTATGAAGGATAAGCACATTAATAAAATTTTGCATATATTAATTTTTGCGTTCGATTAAATTTTGATCACAATTTAATCAAATCAAACAAAATGTTTGATATCTAGCACTTTGATTTTAATGATTATAATAGTTTTATTGTTTATATTTGTAATTCTATCTGACAGACAGTTCGAAACGATCCAATAAACACCGAAAAAAAACGCTTTTTCTTGTATGAGATTAAAAGATATACGCTATTTGTAACATTGTACTCATTTCAAAATGGGACTTTAATGGTAAAGTCAAAAAAAAAATAAAATATAATTGTCAAAACTATTTTAAGTCAAAATCATTAAAAAGTGACAATTAAATACAAAAACAAAATTTGAGTTTTCTCTTTCTTACACTTTCCTCAATTGATTTGCTTTTACTTTTTTGGAAAATTTCCAAATTTTTACTCTCTATGGATCATAATATGCCATTTTTTTTTTCTTTCAATGAAAATTTTCTCATTTTTGTTTGTAAACATTCAAAATCATAGTATTCGTACCGAATTACAAACACAGAAATTCGTGTATGTAGTACCCACCCTATAAGCATAATAGAGTGGTTTATACAAAAAGAAAACAGTTCTATTTTTAAAATAATAAATTTAAAAAAAAAAATTAAATACTCAATTTGTTTTTCTCTGTCTCTTTCAAAAAGCACATGTATTCATTTTGAAAATTCTTCAAATACACTCAAACAAAAACTATATTTGAAAATAAGTAAATTAATTATATTTTGCTTGTGATAAAATTAATAGTGACAGTTTTGTTTTATAGTTTTTTCTAAAATTTATTACCGAGATTCTACTTAAAAGAAATTTAGATTCATAAGCAGTAAAAAAACTAATTTAACTATCTAGATATTTTTTTAAAAATTTAGAAATAAGAGGATTTTGGATAATTCAATTTAAACTAAGGTACTAATTTAAAATAAGTTCTATAAATTCCAACTGCAAAATCTGCAAAAATTGCATGTTCAAAAATTATAGCTGTGCTTAAAGGAATTTCTGAGTTTTTTGAAATTACCACAAAAGTATTATATATATATATGTAAATTAAGATATTGAAGATACACGAGAATGTTAAAAATATTGAGTCTATGCAGATTTGCAAGTATGTTTGAAAAAACTTTAAAAATTTAATTAAGAAATTTTAATGCATAACTGCCAATAAAATAATGAACTGTAATTGGATGTTTAGAACTTTTAATTTGAGGTTAAAATAACATTCTGCTCTGATTTTAAAAATAAGCCAATCTAACTACAAAAAAGTGCATAAAACTTGATTTTTTCCAATCTATTTTTTCTGAGTGTAACTCAAAAAATATTTTTTTTTAATTATTCTTGATGAGAAAATCTGGGGCATTTTATTCTTATTCTTAAAAAATCTCGTCATTTTTTTTTTCGCAAGAGATCATCGCTAAATTATTTTCTTTTTAAAATTTTAATATTTTTTACGTATATTTTATAAATTTATAAAATTTAATATTTAAATTACAAATTTGAAAAAGAAATTCTACATATTTTTTTTGGAAAAAAAATAAAAAATTTAAGAAATTGAAAAAATATTCAATAAATTAAAAGTAAATTTTTTTTTTTTCATAAATTTTCCAAGCAAGTGGCGGATAAAAGAAGAAAAAAAAATTTTTTTTTCTTTCAATGTGAAAAGTTATAAAAATAAAATTATGTGTAAATTTACTGTTCTTTGTCCTTTGTGTTGCAATTCAAGTTTTAATTCGATCGCATCTTTGCGAACAAATTTAATTAAAGCTATAGACTCTCCAATAAAATGTCCAATATGTAATGAAATAGTTAACGGTTTAGATAAATTAACTTTACATTTAATTAGTCATAATGGTATTATTAATTTAACTAGCAGTAATATTCATAATAATAGTAATAATAATAATAATAATTGTGATAACAATTATGGTAATAATAATAAAATTACCAATATTTGTGATAATAATAATAATATAAATAATAATAATAATATAACAACATATGAAATTTTAAATGATAGCGTTTTAATAAATACAAATAATAAAAATCAAATTGAACAACAAATTAATTTACAATCACAACAAAATCAACAACAGCAACAAAATCAACATCAAATTATACAAAATCATATTAATCAAAATATCAATGATAATTTAAATTTAAATAATTCAACCCACGCATTTTATTTTAAAAATGACCCTATAAAATTTATAACCCCTATAGTATTAACAACAGATTTTCTAAATAATACGACAATGTCAACATTAGCATCATCATCATCATCATCAAAATCATCATCATCATCAGCATCACCAACATCATCGATGGTAGCATCAACATTAATATCAAGGGAATCAAATATGATTCCGTCAATTTGTTCGAATATAACAAATAAAATAAATCACTGTAATCAAGAAACGTTACAACAACAACAACAGCAACAACATCAACAACAACAAAATAGTATATTTAGTAATGGTACAGCATCAATTTTACAATTAAAACAATCACCCAATAATAATTTACCAAATAATTTGATTATTATCAAAAATGATAATAATTTGATTAAATTAGAAGAAAATCAAGATATGGAAAAGACTAACTGGTAATTTTTATTTAAATATAAAATTTTATTTTTAATTTATGTTAAGTATTGCTTACTTTCTCTGGAACAACCATCGGCAAACTTTTGTGGGTTATGGGCAAATATGTGCTGTATGAGTATAAATATGCGCCACTCGAGTTTCTTACAATGCCTACTTATATATTTGCAAATTTTTGTGTTTTAATTTGCATTTGTACACCTTTTTTTTGCAAAAGAGAAAATTAACTCAAAATCTTAGTCTTTATTCTCTTATTGTCTCGAATTTCTGACTTTGTTGATTGTTCTTTTTTTTTGACAAGTACCACATTTGTGGTAATATTTATTTTATGTACCTATATCTATATATTATCTATATGATTGAGTTCTTAAAATTTTTTCGAAAAAAAATTTTCAAATTTTAATAATAGTCCCAATCGAATATTTTTTTTGCAGAATGATTTAATTTTTTTAAAATTTAATTTATTAATTTTTATTAAATAACTATTAATAATTTTAACATAAATATTTTTAAAACAAATTTGACGCAAACTAAATGGAATTTTTGCGTTAATTAAATCACAATTTTCATTATCTTCGCCATTTCGTCTTTAATTTCAACTAGAATTTTCATTAATTTTTAATGAATTCAAATCTTAGAAATCTCATATAAATGTCATATTTAAATTTTTTTGTAAATATTAAGTACTATCTTGTCAATTCATTTCCGACACTCACTTTCTTCGTGTCAATTCTAATACACACCATTTAAAGGAAGTTAGAAAATTTTTAAAAATTATTTGCTCCAAATATTTTAAAATATATTATTAATTAATATTATACAATTAATCAAGCATAATTTTAATTTTATATTTTTAGCTCAAATTATGGAAAAATTTTTTTTAATACCCAAATTATTGAAGATCAACTTACACCAACACGATATTGTGACGAACATAGATGTGATATTTGTGGTATTACTTTCAGTTCTGTTGATGTATTTAAAAAACATGTTCAAGTTATGCATCAAATTCCATTAGAAACAAATGATTTTAATTCTACAAATCCGAAATTAACAACTACTGTAGTTAATAATTATGGACAAGGATTATATCAATGTCATCTTTGTTCAAAATCATATAAAATTAAAGCAAGATTACGTTTACATTTAAAAGTTAAACATTGCCTAAATATTAATCCAGTAAATAAAAATAATAATAATTGTAATGAAAATAATGAAAATATTAAGAATAATGCAACAAAATTAAAAATTTGTGAAAAAATTCGTATTCTTACAACAAATTTGAAAGCAACAAATACTAACGTTGTTACAACCGCAACAACTGCAGAACCAATTAAAATTGAAGCAATTGACATTAATAATGATGAAATTGGAAATGAAAATTTACAAGATATTCAAATTGTTAAACCTGAACCAATACCAAAACCATGGAAATGTGATATTTGTTCTAAATTTTATACTACAAAATATTTTTTAAAAAAACATAAAAGAATTCATACAGGTTTGTTTTAAAATAATTTAATTATTATTTAAAATTTTTAATCTATTATAAATTAAAAAATTAAAAAAAAATTTTAGGTGAAACACCCTATAAATGTAACATTTGTAATAAATTATTTACATTTCAACAATCTTACCATAAACACTTGTTGTATCACAGTGATGACAAACCACATGTTTGTAAAATTTGTAATCGAGCTTTTAAGGAACTTTCAACGTTACATAACCATGAAAGGATTCATAGTGGTGAAAAACCTTTTGAATGTGAAATTTGCGGTGAGTTTGTTTCTTTAGAAAAGTAGAAATATATATATATATATATATATTTTTCATAAATTCATCTGCTTGTTCTATTTCTATATAACACATGTTTGGTTTTAAATCCTTTAAAATTTTAAACATAAACCCTCAATGGTATTTTTAATATAAAAAACAAAAAAACAAAAAAGAATTGCACATTTATTATTTAAAAGTTGAAAAATTTTTTGCGAAAATGGGAATTAAAAAAATATTTTGGATTCCTTGATTAAAATTTAATCTTTGTCATTTGGGAATAAAATACTCGAACATGAAGTCTGCAAAAATTTTTTGAATGAAACAGTTTACGTAATGGTATAAGATTATTTTCATTGAAAAAAAATTAAATCAATGTTATTTGTCTTGCTCATTTAACAAAATATTTTCAACACTCCTCATATGACTTTCCGTCAAATTTTTTGTATAACAAATTAAATTAATAATTACTTGAAGACAATAGATCACGATAAAAAATTTAAAATGAAAGCCATAATGATTCACGAACAGAACTTGCAATATTTTTAATTTGTTCAAAAACAGTTTGAATCTATTTGTATATTTTTTTTTATATTTTTATTTTAAGGCTTATTAGTGTAATAGTTTTATTAACTTTGCAAATTTTGTTTTTATAGGTAAACGGTTTCGGCAAAGAGTTTCAAATTATGTTCACCAAAGGACACATACAGGTAAATAGAATTATTGGTATATGATATAATTATGCTCGTAATTGGTTGATTTGCACTTGCAAATTTGTTGAAAATTCAGCCTAATTTTAAGTGCATATTATAAGTGTTAATAGTCAAATAATTGTTAACTGTATGCTATCGTAAATAATTTTATTTTTCCGATTATAATATAAAATTATACATAGCAATTATAATATTATATTTTTGTTTTCGTTTTTAGGTGCTAAACCATATTCCTGTGAATCATGTTTTAGAAAATTTCGTTATAAAGTTACCTTAAGAACTCATAAATGCTCAACACTTAATGAATCATTAAAAATCGAAAAAACGAATGACGAACATAATGATACAAATCTTGATCAATTAAACAATAATATTAAAATTGAAAATTTAGAAAATAAAATTGAAAAATTAAAAAATAATAATAATACAATAGAAAATTTATCAACAGTAGATGATAATTTACAAAAACTTTTACAAAATGTTGATATTTTACATGGATGCGATGATTTATTACCAAATTCAATTTCAAATGATTTAATATGCCATAATAATGATTTTAAAGGCAATGATTGCGATATAAATAAAGAAATAGCTAACAAATCTATTGATGAACTTGTTGCAGAATCATGTAATAAATTGGGTATTGGTAATTGTAATAATATGGAATTAACACAAAATTATAATAGTAGTCCAATAACAAATGATACTCCCTCACCATCTGAACAATTACAACATTTATGCTTGTATTCACCAAATTCAATTGAAGATAATCTTAATGTACATTTAAATATCAATGATGATTCATTAAAACAATTTTTATTTGAAATTGAAAATGATTCAAAACATTCTTAAAATAATAATTTATTAATATTTTTAATTAAAAAAAAAAAAATATTTAAATTTTTTGTGTTTTCAAAATATGTGGTTGATTATTTTAAATATTGTGACTATTTTATATAATTTGTCTATATTACTTTATTAATGTTTCATTACTCTATTTTATATTATAACTGAAAAAATTATAGTAGAATTCTTTAAATATGTTTTTTTAAATAAAACTAAATTTAATAAGTATTTAAGAACATTTTCTTTAGTATTTACAATATCAAAGCATTAAAATGATCTGAAATTTTTAATGAATAACTCATTTTATAAGTAATTAATCAGCCAATCTTCCAGATTCTTTATTAAATTTACTTTGCAAATTTATCCTAACATATTTTATTCATTTAGTAACCAAAGCTAAATTTGGAACATTATAGATAAAAGAATTAAAGCGAATAATATTTCTGTAATCTTTACGTAAACAACGAGATTAACAAAATTAATTGAATTTAAAAAAAATATAGAAAAATTTTTAACAATACTACCTAAAAATACCAAGCAATTAAATTATAATAAGACCAAAAGCTAGAAAAATTATTGTAAATTTTAAACTCTTGCTTTATTTAAATTCGATGTTTTATTTTTATTACGTTGTAATAAAAATATTACAGAAATAACTTTAAAGAAATGAAATAAATTCCGAGTGCTACCGTTGAACGCTGACAGATTCATAGAAAATTTTCTACAATTTATTTTTAAATTATTATAGGAGATATTAACATCCATACAGTGTTCACATGTAATGTTATTGTTACCGTAACAGTACAGTATTACGAAGAATAATTTTTCAAGGTACATGTATATGCCTAAATACATATACATAATGCAATATTTAGGAATACTTATTTAAATGCTCATTTACTAAATTAATCTTGTAATTAGCTTTTATGACAAGCTTTCATAAAATTAAACCAATGATTTGTAAAGTACTTCATTTCCCTTGAAGAAGTCCAAATATTACTTTTTAAAAAACAATCTTTTATTTGAAATAGCTATTCGCATAATTTAAAAAAAAAATAATATTGCATACTTCCAGGACGGGAATAAAAATTTAAAGAGACAACAATAACGTTGAGATTCAAAGGCTATTTAGGTCAGTTAAGATAAATCCAATTTCTGGATTGTAAGATACATATTTATCATTAGGTTGCTTTTTTTTAAATTAAAAAATATTTTTAGTTTCGTTACAATAAGTTTTCAAAAATAGTTTTTTTTTTCGACTTTGAAGGCCTGTAATTTTAAGAAGGAGGAAAGGCAAGTAAAATTATTGTTATAGAAATTAGTCTCTTGCAGAGATGCTTTTGTCTATACAAATTCCGATTTCTTTAAGGGTGCAAGAGTGTGTTTCACAACGGCAATGAATAGTATAATTCCATACCATACAGTAATGAGAGTCTGAAATGTTAAACAAAAAGATACAACCTACTAGTTACACTAACTTATTCAATGTTTCAGGAAATGAAATTTTAATAGATGTGTTGCCATTCAGAAAAATATGTCAATATGGGCAATATGAATCCGTTTCCTATGTTATAACTCTTAAAGTTTGTTAAAATATCGAAAAATAACACTTGCACATAAAAAGTACGTTGTTGAATTCTTTACAGAACTAGTCATCCTTTCATTCCGATTTTCAAAGTAATTATATTTTCAATTAAGTGTGTGTATTTCTCTAATGTTTTATTATTTATGTAGAAGCTATAATTAAGATTTTACAATTATGTACAAATTCCATCTGTATCTTTTAGCTATATAACAAATACTTTTGAGTTTTGAAATAAGTTTTTCATTTAGTTTTAACCACACATCAGTGTAAAAAGTTTAAACTTGAGTAATTATTGTTTCCATTAAATAACTAGTTCAATGTCTCAATTTTTTGTTAATTCTTCTCAACTTTAAATGTTCTTAATTGTAATTAATAAACTTTTACTAGTCCCTATTTTTCCCAATTGGAATTATTAAAATGTTTCATATTATGTTTTCAGTAAAAAGAGTAAATGTTTCCGCAAATATGTTTCCGAACCTGTAATCTGAAAATAGTATGATATATATATATATCATTATAATGTATATATATATCTATTACTTTCATGTATTTATTACTAAAAAAAATTGTCTGTAAATAAATAAGAAAGTTTAACTTCAAAATACAAAAACAGTTTTATGTTATTATTTATTGAAGATTTGAGATTTTTTTTAACATACTTTTTTATGTTATATTTTTTAGCTAAATAAATATTGGAATTCTGCTTTATAATTTTATAATTTTTTTTTTATATTTTTGAATCAATTTACTTTGTTAAAAAGAAGAAAGTTGAAATTTTTCGTTTTTGTTTATTGAAATATAGAAATACTTGTTTGTTATATTTAAGTATTGATAACAATTTTTAGAGGTATCTTTACATTTTTTTTATAAAGTTATAATTTAATAAAATGTTACTTTATATTGCGCTTAAGCTATCGATTAATTGTTTAATTAACTAAATTATACTAAAACAAAATTAAAATTATAATAGAATTGCAAATAATGTTTTTTTTATTCTAATAATTTGTAATTTGTCCAATAAATTTCAACTTAAAATTAATAAGAATATACTTAAGTAGCTTTTGATTATCAAATTTGATCGTTTTGTATTTTTTAATTAAGAAAATAGTATATATAAAATAGACGAACATTTTTTAAAAAGTTTTTTTTTCATCGTTTTAAACTCAATAATGTTAAAATTAATTTGATATTTGAAAGTAAAAATTTTTTTTGAATACATTAAAATAAAACACATTATAAATTTGAGAATGCTTTATTTCCGCAGAAATCAAATCAGAAATTAAACCGGTCACGACTAAGCCTACCTACCGGGAATAAATTTGTTTAAATTAACGCTTTTTGTAGTGGGTTGGAATTTTTTAATTCTAAAAAAAATAGTATAAATATTTTTACTTAATTTAATGAAAAAAATTTGCGAATCTATATAAAATAAAAATATTGCTGTTATACTATTTGATTTAATAAATTTAAGGAATATTTCGGTTTTATAGAAAATAGATTGTAAATTATAATAGATAAAATAATTATAAAATCGCCGAAAACCTCCAAAAATCACAGTTCCTTAATTAAATGTTCTCAATTAAACGAAATTCTGTAGTCTTATTTTTAAATGTGATGATGGAAAATTTATTTACTAAATAATTATTTACCAAAATATAATTTTTTTTTGTACATTTGTTAAGCTATTACAATATGAAGTTTTTCTTAATTTGGGAAGGTTTGCAATATTAAATAACAAAATAATAATAAAAAGCAAAACCATAAATAACCTGTGATTCATTATTGTCATAAAAAAAAAATTTTTAATTTATTGATTTTTCTTTAGTTAATAGATACTTTCAAATTAGGTATAATGAATATTCGTTTCGTATTCATAAAAAATTTTCAATTTAGCATAATTCTATAAAGAATTCAAAATTCTTCGTGAACTCTCCAAGGTACTTTTACAAAAATGCTTACATAATTTTTTTATAATTTTATAAATTGAAATTAATCTTGGATTTTTCCAAATCAAATGTATTTTATTTGATATAACCGTAATTAACATTAATAAGATGCAGAAATTGATTTTCAAATTTATTCGATACTTAACTATATAAATTTTCAAATTCAAAAACTAGAAAATCATCAATTTATTCAAGTATGCTATTTAAAAATCACATTTATTCTTTTTATCATAGAAGTTTAATACTTTTTTCTTATAATATGATAAAAATAAACTTAAGAATTAAAACAAATAAATTAAGTATTATTAGTAGAAAAACGTGCAATTAATATTTAAAATTGATAAAAAAAAACATATATAGTACTAAAATAGTAAAAATAATTGAAAATTAACAAACAGATAAAAAGTTAATAAATACATTTTGTTAACTTGCTTTTTTTTTCTTTTTCGTTTTTTTACATGTTTAAATATAATTAATTTTCTTTAAATTGACAGAGATTAGTAAAATAAAACAAGTAAGTAACGGTCAATTTTTTAAATTTCTGTTATTATGTACACATGTCTACATAAACATATGTATACGTATTAAGTAGTGCGTAACTTTTTAATTTTTCAGAAAAGTTGTACATTGTGTGTATCAAAAATCTTATATATTTTTTTATATATAATGTGTATACATTGAATTTGTAAAGTTCATAATCACCATGAATGAACCTATTTGTGAGCACTTAAATTTCTAATAAAATAAAGGTTTTTTTTTTAGATAATAAATTAGTTACTGACTTACATACGCACTACAATTTATATTAAATTTTTAAATTAATTTTTATGTTACGCAATATATATATATATATATATATTTTTTGTTCCTAATATTCTTTGTTACTAAAATTATTTAATAAAAATTATTGCAATTAAATTTACGTTGTTTTTTATTCTGATCGGAAAATTTATACTTTACAGCAATATATTTTTGTTTATTGTATTTTTATAGAGAATTTTTTTTAATTTTTTTTTTTTATTTTTTTTTATTTTTTTTGGAATGTTAATAAATTAAAATGCTTTAATGTCGAGGAGAAAAGACTCTAATATATAACAATAATAGTTAATAAAAAATACTATAGGCTAATCAATTATTCATATCAAATATTTTTTCTTTGTCATTTGTTCTTTTTCAAGCTCATTTAAATTTGCGTCCTGGTAATGTGGGACTTTCTGGCGGAGTTCCACCTTGTTGCAATGATTTCTTTGGCATTGACTTGAATGGATGTAATTTTCTAGACGGTCTTGGCGATGGTATATCAACGGAAGCCGAAGAATTTTGACTTGAATTTGCCATCATTTGATTTTGGGTAATATCTTTCATATTAGCATCGGAATTTTGTAGCCATCCTAAAATTTAAAAAATTAAATAAAATCTCTATATTGAAAACAAATTTAAATACCAGTTAAAGCAAATAAAGAATAAAATTAAAATGATAAAATCGTAACATTAAGAACTTTTTGATAACAAGCCAATATTTTGTTCTTTCTTTTAAAAAATTTTCCCCGCTCAAACTAAATTACCTTTGAGCGATGATCGGTGATGATCAATTAAAGCTGCAGCTAATGGAGCATTATTTCCACCTAAAGATTGTGTGCTTGGAATTGGGCTATATATTCTAGCCACAAATTCTTCAAATGTTGTACTATCTTTATAACGTGAAGATACTGCTTCAAGCGATCTATTACGTTCTTCATAGCTTGAATATTTAAAAAAATGATTTATACAATATAGGTAAAAATATGAAAAAAAAACAATACTTACAATTGTTGGTAAAACGGTAAAGAAGAACGCTTTGCTCGGCCAGCATTTATAGCGGTTGCTCGTACTAAACTAGCTAGACATGCTCCGCTAATAACACTTTCATCTGCCAAAGGTCCGAACCAAGGGACATCTGGTTTTCTATTAACAGTAATACGAAATAAACCGCTTTTTAGTGGATATATTACAATTAACACATCACAAAATTCTGTAGGTAATATATCCCTTCGGTATTCACGATGGTGTTCGCTCCAAACGATGTGAACTTCGTCATTACCTAAATGTCGCGTTTTCGTTAGAATAGCTTCTGGAGAATCTGTTGGCATCCGTGTAGCTACGTGAAAAATAACTTCCAAAAAAGGTGTTGCATAATATGGAGCCGTTGCGCCACAACCTTGTCTTGGGAGTCCACCCAAAAAACCATTGTGAGTTTCTAATTCAATTTCCCACCCAAGTGCTGACACAAACATCTCATAAGTACTACTACCACATGAATTCCGTAAAATACTGTTTTTATCTTCCTGCCCACCTCCTACATATATCACAGCCATTTTGTGTGTTTCACGACATTTCTGTAAATCAACATTTCGAAGTTCGCGTAAAAGCTTTTCAGTACGTTTTAGCAAATAGGTGTGTTGACGTCTTTCCCATCCAGCTAAACCAAGATGGCTAAACAAAAGTCGGCAATATTGGAAGGCAACATCATTTTTGGATAAGCTTCCAACTGATGTATTATATGATTCAAAAGAAAGGGATGATAACGAAGCACCGTCTGGAACACCCCCAGACACACTTCCTTGAAAGGAAGGCAAACGTTCTCTTTGCAATAATAAATTTTGATTTTGTCTCTGAACATACTCTTGTTCAACAGTTCGTTGATTTAATATTATTGAAATGGCTTGCGCCTCTGTAGGTGCACCTAAAGGACTTGGACCTGGCATATTTAAATTAGTAGTAGTGCCGGAAAGACACTCTGGAGATGTGTGCCCAATGTATTGCAAGAGCTAGAAAAAAAATTATTATTAGATAAAAGCATTAACGGCGGTGCATAGGAAAACTGTTCTTAATGATAATGTTAAAATATTCAAATAAAAAATGAATTCTAATAAGTAGGTTATTTTGGTTATTACAATTAGTTTTGAACGGCATGTAACTTTAAATTTCGATGTAAATTAGCACAAATCACGATATAGCACATTTATCAAAAGAGATTTGACTTCTAATTTACCATTACTAAGCATGACAACCAGATGTTAAAATTCCATTTTATTTTTAAATTCAAACTTACATCATCTAATTGATCAAGATCCGGAGCAATATCTTTAGCCAATGGTAACTCATTTGGGGGTCGATGTCTCAATGTATGTCTTGGAACGGAAATTTCCATTCCAACCATCGTAGAAACTAATGGATCCAGAGGAACGCTTGAATTTGGCATCATTTTGCTATTAAAATTACTTCCAATTTGAAAATGACCATACGCGCTATCAATTGGCATAGCTCCCGCATTATTTAAGTTGTTAGTTACTCTAGATCCTTTGGGTTCACTATACAAAATTGATGCATCCCAACATGCTTTTCCATTTAAATCCCGAAGCAAAACACGCACCTGTTTCTCAGCAGTCACTAATCCAGCAGTAGCTCCGCCACCTGGTAGTTTTAAGGCTGGTAATTCCACAAAACTTGAAACTAATCCATTATTTAACATGAAAATTTGGATATTTTGGGCATTTAGTACTTGAGGTGCTCCCAAATCCACTGAATCCCTTCTTTCTTCCTGAAGAGTTACATTTGTCGTCATTTGTAATAAATTTAATTGCACATCATCTTGCTCTTCAACCATTGAACTAAGTCGAGATGCACCGATTCCCATTGGAAAGTGACCTAAATGTGTAAATAAGTGCATTGCAACGCCCTTTGCACATAATCGAATTGCTTGCACACAGTTCTGTATTGTTTCAGTTGTCTGATAATTTGCTTCAGTGCTAGATTTAAATTCATTGTCTACATCATCACATAGTATTGTCATATCGAAATCTTCATCAGCTGTCAACAGCTTGATCCTATCATTTCGTGAACCAGAGGCTATTACATGTAGGGTTTTTAAAACTGTCAATATTAAAATATCATCATTTTCATCAGTTGATTGAGTAAGTAAATCCGATGGAAACGCCATACAAAATTCACCAAGGCACAAAATAAGAGATGTTATAACAGTTTTATCAGCCTCTTTAGGATTGGATACGTTTTGAATTTCTAAGGCTTTACATATCGCTTTAATAATTAAATGTGGTAATCTTTCGATGTATGCTAGTTCTTTTGCTCTTTCTGCACAAATTTTTAAAGAGTTACAAGCTGCAATTGCAATAGTTCTATGTTTGAATTGCAAAGCTTGCAATAAAACAAGAACAACCTCCTTTATCCGTGGATTGAAATGGCGCGACTCTCGTACAGGACTATTTGCTTTATGAGGAATATTTTGCAAAAACCCTTTTTTTGTTAACAAAGGACCTGATAATTTTTGCAAGATCCACTGACCAAGTTGAGCTAAAGCAATGCAACGTGCCTTCGAAGATGGTTCACGCCGGGCACATCTTAGGATTATATTAAGAACATGATTTTGTAAATCAGGGCATTCCATTAATTCAATTTTTTCTGAGGGCTGTAATACTGGCTTTGGAATGACGGATGCTGGGTAACATAATAAGGACCCTAAAAGTGAAGCGACTTCGGCCCTTGGTGTATGACGACCAGTTTCAAAAGAAGTTAACAAAATTGCAGATGCATGGACTATATCCAAATACAGCAACGTGTGTCCAGGTAACAAAATACTTAAAAATCGTGGACCTTCCAAGTACTTTAATATTACATATATCATATCCCTATCCTCTCCAGTTAATAGTTTATGTAACACATTGTAAAACAAAGATAGCTGGCTTATAGTAGTTATGGATCCATTAACGACTAACATGCATAGTAATTGAACAGCCCATAACTTCCCTTTTTTGAACTGCGAATCTAGTTTCAAAGCGCCATAACACCAAGGAGACACTATTCCAATTGGTGGAACCAGTGAGGGAGGAGCGGGTGTACTTTGATTGTCATGAGATATACCTTGATTTTGTTTAATTTTAATTAAATTAATTGTCATGTCAACTAAATGCTTAAAAACTTGCGCATGCAGTTCTGATTTGGGTATTTTGTTTACGTCTCCTAATGAACCTAACATTCTCTTCCACATAATGGCAGCAGAATCTGGCAGCCAACCCGTTGCTGTTCCACCTAAAATTATTTTTTATTATTTTTTAAAAATGTTCACTATAGTATTTTTTTATATAAATTACTAACCTGATATTATCGATCTTCTGTCTAAGGAATTTCCAATATCCTCTTGAGTATCAACACTGGAATTATCTACTGCTAAACAATCGATTTGAATAGGGGAATCTTTAATAGAACCGCCTTCAATACCACTAGAAGCAGTGGGTGAAGGACTTCGGGAACCATGAACACTTTCATTTTCATCATCGACGTTAAGTTCATTTTCACAGTTAGCTGTTTTTTTTATATGCAAAGAATCTAAAGACATTGCTCTACGGAATGTCTCTCTTCTATTTTCAAGCGTGCTTTTACGAACACAACTCTGAGATTCTTTATTTGTACTCAAAGTTTCTACACTAACACTAAAGTCTGTTTCCGAATTATTTTGAGCTAATATTAAATTCAAAGAGTGTTCAACACTGCTTGATAAAGTTGGTACTTTGCTCGAATGTTTCATACGATGCTTATGAAGACGATTCTTCCTATTTCCATGCATGACAGTCGATGCTAAAGACCCTTCGCTGTAACTACGATTTAAGGCCGGAGTTCCAGGAGCACTTCGTCCTGGAACAGAATGCTGACTTTGTAAAGAAGGTACACCAGCACTATTTTCATCCCGAATTTGGGAATCTTCATCTGGTTTACGATTATCAGCTGCTACAGTTCGAGCGTCACGACTATTTCCGGTACTTTGCCAAACACTTCCAAAACGACGTCTCTTTCCTTTGCTTTCCGCTAAACGATCTAGAGGTAAATCTTGCAGGTTCAAATTGTAGACGTATCTTGCTAAGACTCTCGTTAATGTTTGCATTGTTTTGTCCCACTCTATTATCAACTCGTCTCGATAAGTTAAATTGGTTAAGACTCCTAAAAATTTGTCCCAAAGCTGTGGGCTTACAGGAACGTTTGTATGTGCTCTAATCCAAGTAACGATTAATGTTTGAAATATTGCTTGCCCAAGCCGACCACCTAAACTAGCTGATTTAGATTGTGGTGGTTGACTTAAAATTACTGAAGTTATTTGTAACAGAACTAGCAATAATTGCTCCCAAGTTCTTGGTTCCATGCGTGTATTCATAACCATAGTTCGATAAACATTCAAAACTTTTTTACATATATCTGTTTGCTCATTTAGCGGCGATGAACGATAATCTCGAGATTTTGAAGGAAAAACAATATTGAGATGCGCCGTGTTTATTAAAAATACATTTGAAGCGTTTGTTACAAAAACTTGTAAAACATTTTGTAAACCAGCACGCACTGAATAGTTTTCTTTAGAAATTGCACCCAAATACGAGTCAGTACGCAATCTCTGATTAACTGCAGTGCCTAAAACGGTAAATATGAACTTTGATGTTATAATATACAAAAGAAAAAACAATTTTATTTACCATTTTCGGTAGATTTTCTATTAATAAATTCTTCAGTTGGTTCTAATAAAAATGGAGGAGGAGGTTGACCTGTCATCCAATCCCTATATACTGCAATACAAGTTCGAATCGCCTCAATTTGAGATTTTGTCGAAAAACCTAGTAAAAATGCTTGCCGATAAACTTCATGGACAAAATTCACATTTTCTCTGCTCATATATAATACATCTCGTACAATTATTCCTTGTGCGTATGCCATAAAACGAGGGTTGGCCAGTAGAGTTGAATATTCTTCTTCTTCTATTTGAACATGCTCCAATCGACTGTTTAACAATTTTTCATGAGTAAATCTTGATAACCAATTTATGAGAACGACAATGCAAGATGACATAACTTCATCTTTTTTACTAGTTGTTCTGATCAAAGGTAAATCTAATTTTGGTTCGTAGATTGAAGTTCTAATATCAAAATGCGGACAAAAAACTGTTAGATAGACTTCTTTAAATCGTTCCAACAAGAATTCGAAACACTTCATATGACGCTGTGTACTTTGCTCACGCCATTTCAAACAGGCTGTTGTATGAACCATTGAGGTCAGTAAAATATCCAAACCATCACGCGGATCTGGGGCAGATCTTTCATTTGACGATGGTGGTAGAAGAGGACCTTTTTCGCCACACTGTACGGGATGAACGCAGTTATCATGAAAAACTGAACCGCCAAGTTCTCCCTTCATATTGGGATGGCTTAAAAAATCTGGGGTGTTAAATTCTACCTCCGAAGAAGGACCGGATAAACCTTTTTGAGGTATAATTAGCCCCGGCACTAGCTCAGAAAACATAGAATGTACATATGGTGGAGCATTTCTACCAAGAGCTTGATACCAAAGCAAGAAATACCTGCAAATTCAAAACAAAAATAAATAATTACTCCATGCAATGTAATGTTTAGCTCACTTACTTTACACCCTCTTTTCGTAGTTTTGCGCTATTTCCTGGATGAAGTAGTTTTCCAATAATTAAACTTAGTGAATGACATTGCCAACGACGAGCTAGTAATTCTGGGAGTAAGCACAATATTTTACCTAACAACCATAAGGATCCTTCTAATTCTTCTTTATGAGCCTTGTGCACTAAAATAAGTATGTAAATATAATTTTACATATTAATTCAAGTTAGAAATTAAAAAAACCAAAATTTTTAAATTAAAAACTCTTAAACATATTCAATCAAACCTATAATTTGATCAGCAAATTAACAAGCATGATGTTAAGATGAATGCAATAATATTTATGTATGTATGTTTAAATACATAAATCATTTTTTAATAGTGAAAGGTACTTTAATGGGTATATAAATTTAAAATAAAAATGTTTCGTTTGTTAGTTAATTAAGCTTTCTCTGAGTTACTAAAAATTGTAGCTATAATATTATAATTTTTAGGAAAAATATGTACATATGTACGTTCATTACTAGGTAAGTACCTATATTTTTTTGCATACAATGACAGATATTATAGTTATTTTATACAAAAATGCAAAGAATTCTTCAAAAGTAAGTTAACAGTGCAAATTTATAAGCGGCTTTCAAAATATTTCAAAAGCATTAAGCGTTTTTATATGCCACATTCATTTATATACATTTTTAAAAGCATGCTGTAAATCTTAAAAGAAGCAATTTATTCGTAGAAAAAGCTTAAAAATGATATTAAAAATTGTAAAATTATACAATTTGCAAATATAAATAGAAAACTTTAAAATTTTAATATTGTCGTGCAACGTTGCTACCGTCCTCACTTACCAATATGAAAAGGAAGTTCTGCACCACCATTTAAGAAATATATAAAATAAATCATTTTTATTAAATTTGATTTTATTTCCAAATAATGTTGTTAATTTTTGACATTAAATTACAGGAATTTAAACCAAAAAACAACATTTAATATGTTAATATTGAATAAAATATTTGAATAAGTAAATGAAATTTAAATTTTAATTAAAACTTACCTCTCTGCTTCAAATTAGCTTCAGCCTGTACAAATGTATCATATAAAATATAATACACATGACTATAATTCGTTTCAAAAACCGATTTTGCTTCATCCAAATCAACGAAATCTGTAATAATGTTTAAAATTTTTATTTTAAAATCTATGTTATAAGACGTAGATGAATGTTTTTTAATTAGTATTATATGGTGATCAATTCATGTCCCTGGAAGAATCTTAAGGAAATTTGATTTTTTTTTGGAAATTTTCTTCAGAAAGAAATCCAAATTGGTAAAATAAATACATAATTATGAAAAATTATTATTTATTTTACCAAAGGTCGATTATGATAAATAGACGATAAAAAGATTTGGAAAATATTGAGAGTTCGCTGCATTTTACTGTTATCTAAATGCTTGTATTTTGTAGTTATAGTGTAAACATTATAATAACCTAAAGAAAAATTTCAAACAAATACAAATTTACTTTTAAAACTTATAAATAAAAAATATACAAATTTGCCTTATACGTTTTGACTATAGAGTTAAAAACATTGAAACACCACCAAAAAGAACGTCTGTTAATTTTATATTTTATTTTTTTTTTTGTATGCATTCTTTCGTACACTTATGCACACATTAATATATGAAAAAGTATATAAATATTCAGCTTCACCCATGACTTAAGCCGATTTCCCCCTGTCCTATTTTCTCTTTAATGTTTACGAAATACACCCACTCATTTTCAATTTCACCTTAACAAAAATTTCTAGAAATGATTGTAAAAAATTTTACCTAATATTGTTTTTAAATGCCTTAATCTCGTTGCAGAATCTTTTTTATAATCCTGAATTTTCAGTGTAGATTTTTTCACATCAGCATGCGATTTTTTTGTAAACATTTTTACCTATTTATCCAGTAATGGCCGCTGATGACTAAAAATTAACTTACTTCTACTTTGAGAAAGTTAAGTTTTTCTTTTAATTTAACCACTTTTGCACCATTACTTAATTATATTTACATTGGGATATGCTTAAAAATTAGTTTGATTTTATTTATATTTTCTTTTATTCAAGCATTCTATAATAATATAACTTAGTTTTAATTAGAAACTTTTTGTAAAAAAATCTCTACGTACAATGTTTTCACTTTTGACAGCTGAATTTTATATTAGGAAATTTACCTATTCTTTTGACCCCTGGTTTTGATCGTAGCAAACTATTTACAAATATCATTACACTCATTCAAAAGTTCATTTTGTTTCGATAACTACATATCATAATTTATCGAATATATATTTTGACATGATTAGCAATAGTTAATCAAAAACGTTATCCAAAGTTGTGAATTCTCATTATTTTCCAAATATTTTTATCGTTTATCAATTTTTTATATTTTATAAAATAATTTTTATATATGTATGTCACTCATGTATATTTGCTGAACTTTTTTTTGTAATTATTATATAATTTTTTTGGCAATTATGTAACTATTCGTCCCACAAAAATGGTTTTTTTTTTTATTTGGAAATTTTTTCTATTAGAAAATGGTTTTTTTCTTACATATTTTTAAATTTGTAAAATTATAATCAAAACACAAAAGTGCACTTTAATATATGACAACTATGCATTAATTTAATTAAACGGGAAGCACAAAATAAAAACGCAACTTTAAAGCAGCATTTTTAAATATTTTTATTTTCTAATTTTCCATTCTGATGCTTGTTACAGAATATGACTTGGAACAGATTTATATTTTCCTACTGTTTGAACACACAACATTTTATAAATGTCAAATTTTGAAGTGTTATTTTAATCTTGAATATGATATTATATCCGACATAGTTTGGCCAAATTTCGCAATTGCCATATGTTATTGGTAATTTTTGCATTTTGATCAGGAGTGCGACACATGATTAAAAAGTTATGTGAAAAAACTGTGTAGTATTGCGTTATTTATTATTAAGTTAAAAGAGGGTATTATAACATTAATTGAACTTTTTCTTTTTTAAACAACAGTTTTAGTTTTAAATTAATTTAAAGCAAATGAAAATGGAATTGTAAAAGCATGTTTTTGATATTCAGTTTTTGTTCTAGATAATCACTTAAAAATGTAAGACTTTGCAGGTAGTCTATATTCCGTATTAATTATAATATTTTATTCTTCTAACCAATTATTATATTCTATACAATTTTTATAGAAAGATTAATATTCAACTGAACCAAATCCAATTGGAAATTTGTGGAAGAGTTCTTAATTAAACAAACACGTTTATAATCATACACTACTGATTGAATATAGTAATAGAACAGACCATATGTTAAAAACAATCAGATTGTAATTTTATGTATAAATTACTTGTAATAATATAGTAATTTGTTTTGTTTGGATTTTATATTTATATTCAAAAGTCACGACTGACAACAATATTTTTGTTATGTCAAGATTTGATTCGAAACAATAAATTGAAAATGACGGTGACTAGTGGCTAGTGAGTGCTAATTTAAGTAATGGTAATTGATATTTTGAATTTCTTTTACAAGTAAAATTTGAATTTGGGTTGGAAATTTTTATGTTTGTACATAATTGAAACATTAAAGTTTAGAATTTCGTTAATAATGTTCTTAAAAAAATTATTATTTTAAAAAGTTTATTATTTTCTAATTTAAAGTAAGTAAAAGGAGTTTATTCTATTCAAGAGAAATTAATTATTTTTCAAAACAATTCGGAATGATCATCTTTATTTAATACTCTTATAAATTTCTCTAACCAATATTGTTGGGTTTGGTATACATAATTATAAATTAATAATTTTGTACATTTATACTAGGTACTGATTGAATTCATCACAGTTTTCAGACAATGTCTCGAGCTATACAATCCATCCTACCGTTTTAAAATTGACAAAAAATTGCATTTTACAGCTTGTTTTTTTACTTATACAATTCACTTTTATAAGAAAAACCAGTTTTGTCTTATTTATTCTTAAATTCCAAATTTATTTAAAATTTTAAAATAAAATTGAAACAAATGCTGGTACCTACATTTCAAATTTTGTTCAAATCCATTTCGCTTTATAGAATTCATAAAAAACAATAATTGATGAGTTCATAAATACCTACTGAATACAAAAAATTGATTTTTGATCCATTTCAGATGTTTTACAATGTTATTTTGAATATTTCAGTTATGATATTTTACTAAATGATGCAACACTTTGTTTATAATTTCCATTTTATTTATCCCTTTAATTTTTATTGTTTCAAGTTGTTTTTCGATTTTATTTAATAATTCCCTTTATTCTAGTTCTAGGAAAATATTTAATTTATACTAAATAATCTACATACGGTTTTTATTCTAAAGGTAATATTTGTATACACACATACATATATATTTATGTATTTAAATATATGCATACTTAAATACGTACATACATTTTCAATTGAACTATTAAATCTTTCTGAATTATTCCTTTAGAGTTTATCGGGTAGAAAATTTGAAATGAAAGTATTTGATAAATTTCTTGAAAATTTTCGATTAAATTCCCATATTTTGTTTTTGATTACACCATAACAGTCTACGATAAAGCTTACTTTTTACTCACAAAAAATACTAAAGGAAAAACTCTTTTGATATTCGATAAAACGGTAAGATAAAAAAATTATAAGTGATTTTAAAAATATCAATGCCATAATTATTCAATTGTTAATTAGAGGGATTATAAAAGGATTTTTTTTCCAAACGAATCCCTCACACACTAATTTTTATGTTGCGATTAAAACTTGTTCAAATTATTAAAATATACGCATACATACCTACATTACATTTTTTTAACATAACATACAATATGTATAACCCAATATACTATGATGACCTATAAAGAATTTGCTAATATTTATTTTGAAAAACGCGATTTAAATTTAATTTGATAATAAAATAGAATGACGTATTTTATCAATTAAGTATAAAAATTCTAGTATTTCTTATACAGTCGGCATTTGTCTTTTAATACTATCTATATTTAAATAAATAAACTCAAATCAAAACAATGGTCTGTAAATTAATAATATTACTCTTAAGTAGCTCAGATTATTTTCTCTTTTTTCAAATGATCTCGTATTTTCTCTTATTTTAATGTTGTAACAACTATATAGTAAGATAAAAGTATTACTAATATAACAGTACAAAATTAAATTATAGGCGACAAATTGATTAAATCATAAAATATATATATGTGTTTAGTACACAGGTATGTATGTAAACAGGGTGACCTAATATCCAATTTCATACTTGCCGATGGTAAAATTCAAGGGCACATTATAGCTTACTTTAACAAAATTACTTAGTAATTAATAAAGACGTTTAAAAAAATTCGAAGAGTTTTGCAAATATAATTAACTTACATTGTATATGTAAAAAAAAAACTACATGGTTTATGTAGCGTTTTTTGTACAAATGTGCAGTGTAATTATTCTAAGGAAACGAGTTTCTTTTTAAGACATGTTCGAATTTCAATTGCAGCTTTCTATCTTAACGAATGTAAAAAAATTGTAAGCATAAAAGCTGGACATCGTAAAAGTAACAAAAGCGTTTTTTCCAACATTCTTTGAAAATGCATTAAAAAATCATATTTTAAGAGCATTATAAAGTTTTTTCATATAAAATTTCATACAAACCTTGAACATATTTGTGTCCAACGCAAACGGTTTCCAATTGATTTTTACGCAAACAGTAAACAAAAAAATTCGAAGAAGAAATTCAATTATAATAAAATTATTATTTTTCAGAATCCGGAGGTCATGACCCTGAACTGTTACATTACTTTTATAAGGAAAATTCTTTGTACAATAATAAGAATAGGCAAGCAGGTAAGTAGTAAAAACGCATATAATACATATAATATGCATTTTATTTTTATTTTTTGAATTCTTTTTGCACGCTCTTTTCCCGAATGACCAAGCCAGATAAATATGTTATCTACCCACATATATATGTACGATCTATAGACCGTAACACATGTACATAAACATAAAATCACTAATTTGATAGTTTTCATTTTGAGAATATAAAAATTGTTATAAATTTTGTTTTCCATTTAGAAAAACCGGTCAAGTGCGTTCACATCAGTTTACATTCACATGATTTGAAATTTTTTAACAAGGAATTAGAAAAAAAAATATAGTAAATTTTAATTGAGCAGTAATAAAACATTTTAAATTAAATATTGTAGCGTAATATTTTATTGTACCATTATGTACATCTAGTGCCCACATCAAATATAAGATACGAACACTAAGAATACTAAGATACTTTTGATTACTTATAATCCTTGTGTTACCGATTGCTTTAAATCGATATTCAAGTTATTCAAACCTAATTCCAATCCCTCATAATTCTTAAATATTTAAAACAAATTTTAGTTTTTTAATATTATTTAGATTAAACTACCCTAAGGATTTTATACCCGATCATAATATTTCTACACTACTTTTCTGTAATGTAGAACCATTTTAGCTCAAATACAATAAAACTAGAACCGCTACAATTTAATTTAAAAATAATAATCTCTTAATCATACAGACATACATAATATGTATAACCAAACACAAGTACTTAATACATTTAAATATATGTATGCATGTAGTACCAAAAGTTTTTGATTCATCGTTAAGTGCCATTATTTTTAAATATATTGTTTTCTTCTATAGATTTCATACTCTCAATTTATACCGACGAATTCTGAGATAATTTTATTTTTCACTTTGATTTAATTTGTATCTTCAACAATTTGATTATAAGCTTTACAATTGAAAATAGTAGAATTATACATACATATATAATATATATATATATTTGATGAACTGATCTATAAACACTAGGAGAAGCCCATGTAATTCATTATTATTATAAATAAATAAAATATAAAAATTTATGAAAAAAATATCAACTTATGTACATATTAAATGAGTCCCATAATAATATTGTTTATATATTCGTTTATAAACACATAAATTTAATATAATTCTACCTACATTATTTAATAGAACAATACGTATATATGTAAGTATATATAAGAGTTCTTACTATTGAAATTTCGATCCCGCATTTTCTCAAACAAATTTTCATTGATATGTACGTACCTACATACTTCACTAACATTATTTATAATACACGTATATTATTATAATACGATTTAAAAAAAAAAAACAGGAAAAAGTAAGATAATGGAGATGAAAAGAATCATAAAAAAAAAGAGAACATAACATAATTTTATAAAACGAATCGCGATTTTGAATTACTCGCAGTACTCACTTGGAATTTTTATTATTAATCATTGATTAGTATTTGTAAAACCTTCGTTTCATTTAGTACAAAAATTAAAGTTGAACGTTATAAAAATTAAATATATTAAAGAAATATATATATATATATATATATAAAATTATTATATATAAATAATTTTTTCAATTTTAATTTAAGAAAAATAATCTAAAATATGAATCAAATTAATTTTTTTATATTAACTTTAATTTTATTAAACACATTACTTTATTATGTAAAAGCTGATACATTTGCCTATCCTGTTGATGATTTGATGCCAGATAAAGCTAAATTGAATGCAGATGTAAGGATATAAAAAATTTTTTAATCAATATGAAACACTGATTTATATTGTAAAATAATAATTTTTGGCTTTTAAAACAAAATCAAATTCAAAAATCATTAAATCTTCTTCTATAATTAAATATTAAATTCAACATTATAGAAGTTATCAAAGCGGTAACGTTATAGTACAAAATTTCTTTAAATTACTATATAAGAATTTGATCTAAAGTATAAGTGTTTAAAGACGAAATTACTTTCTGTTAACAATTTTTAGAAGTGAAAATAAACGAAACGTCATTATTATAGCTTCATTGAAATCAAATCAAATTTTAAATTATACGGGGGGCAGTCAGGCTTACTTATGAATAAACATAACTCATATATAAAACTATAAACTAAAACTTGTAAATAGAAATTTAACTCAATGGAACAAACAGAATATTATAAAAACGGGAGACAGAATAACAATAACAATTTGTATAAATAAATAGTATTTTAAATTTTATTACACATTATTATAGCAACAATACATAATATATTTAATTATTAAAATACTAAAATATCTCTACAAAAAATATCTCTAGCTTTGAATAATCTATTTATTTTTAACATTTATTAAATACGAAAATGATCATATTGCAAGTGAAAGTGTCTTAAGTTTAAGAATAAAATGAATAACGAAGTGATAAAACGATTTAATAATAAATCAATATCAGTTTTTCTTTAAATATAATGGTTTCTTATATACTTATACATACACACATATGTTAATATTAATTTTTACATTTTTAAATCCAGAATTTATTTAACTATATTTTTATATAAATATCTACTTATATATACAAAAAATAGTTGCAGGTCATATAGGGTGAATATACTCGTACCATAGATGATAATATTCTATTCAAACCATAATATGAAATAAAACAAAAAAAAAAATATAATTTTATTGATTTTGATGCATCTTGCAACCAAATTTAATTCTCGCTATCTGCTAATTAATTCTAAAAAATTTTTGTTTTATTAATATGTATTAGAAATCGATTGAACTATTTGAAATTATTTTGATATTTTAAAAATGATTTTGTTAAAATGACTTGCTTAATAAATTATCTATGTCGAATCCATCGTCGATTTCAAATTGCTATGCCGGTTACATAAGTCTTTCAGAATTTTTTCCCCTTAGCAATGTTATATAATTTGAAAAAATTATATTTAAATATCTTCTATGCTCATCAAATGTTGTTCTTTTGAAAAAATATTCAATCAGATAGAATATCTAATTTTAGATTAACACACATTGGATTAATAAGCTTATCAATATGTACAGTTTTTTTTGTTATACGTAAAGTAGATTTCTTAAGATAAAATTTCGGTGAAATATCATTAATCTTAATTATTATTAATTTACATACTTGTCTTCTTTCAAAATTTTTTTTATAACTAATTACATATTGAATGAGCATTAATAACAAATCTTAAACTTTTCATTTATTCATAGGGATTTCCGAATTTAATATTAAATGATAAAAATTAAGAAAAGCTAATCTATATTTTAAATTATTTAAAATATACAAATTTTGAAGCATTGTAATTTTAGTTTTGTGTACATATTGGTAAAAATAGATTATGTTGTCTTACATTACCAGTTCAACCCGCACTGGTCATTTATTAGAAAAACATAATGTTTTCAAATTTATAATATAAAACCATTATGAAAATCTATAGAACCTTTAAAGTATTATGAAAAACACATACATAAGTACATAATTAAGCATATTTTAAAAAAATTTAAGTTAATTTCATTTATGAAGGAGGATAATAAATTTGAATTTCATAATATAAAATTTTTAAAAAATTGAAGATTTAGCTACCTGAAATGGAATAAAAAATAACCACTTTTTAAAAGAAGAAATAGTTTAATTAATTTATAATTATGTTACTAATTATCTCGTTACAATCAACTGTAGATTATGAAAAGTACTTCTTTAAACCTATACGTATACAGGCATGAAACCTAAAAATTTTTTAAATATTTCCAATTGAAAGTAATGTTTTCTAGAATAATGCTATATTAAAATATGTATATAAAATTTTTATATTTTCTTTGCCAATAAACAAATCTATAAATCATTTAGAATTATATTTCAATTTTCATTTTTTGCCCTAATGAACTAAAATAATCTTGCCGATAATAACAAAAAATGTATTATGGTCTTTAATATTTCATATGATTAATCATTTTTACTATACACAGAAATAAGTATGTCTACTAGTATGTACATGGTGTATGGCTAGTAGTATTTTTAATAAAATTATATTTTTTACTTGCTGCAAGAACTAAAGTTAAAAATATTTTAATATATTAATATTTAAAAAATACAATATTGATCATATTTTTGAATGGGATTTCAGTTGACTAATCTACTTCAACGAAGTAATGAGATTCTTATCATTTTAAAGGAAAAAATCTTTTTAGAATTTTTATTCATACCTACGTATACTAATAATACAACCAGTTATTGCTGGTATAAAAAAAATTCCAAAAATTCTTAATTTACTCGGTTTTTCTTACTCTTGTGCTTATTATCTGTTAAATTTGTTATTTCATCATTGTCACTTACTTTATATATTAGCTTTTTCACAATTATGAATTATATTCTACTTTATTCCAATATAAATTTAAATTTATAAAATATTTATGTATAAATATGCATACAAAGAAATAACTTTTCAAAAGTAAATGTTTTGCTTCTGATTTTAGGGAAGAAAACCTGTGTGGGTTCCAGGACGATGTGCAGAAAATGAAATTTTATATCCAGGAGATAATCAAGATGATTGGGTATGCGATTGTAAACCAGGTAATTATTATATTTTCGAGTACTTTATCAAAAGAGAATAGCAAACTGATAGAATATAGAATAAATATACAAAATCAAAGAATTTCTTATAAAGAATTTCTTATAACAAGAGTTTTATCATTAAAAATATTTTATACTTAAATAAAACGACTAAAAATAAGAAAAATTGAATGCTTATAATATTTACATTAACATCCATATTAATTATTTTCTTAACTTTATTCCTAAATTTTATTTTCTGATTTTTCAGCGTATATTTTCCATCCTGACACCGGTAGTTGTTACATGCCATATAATCAAGGTCCATGCGAGGACGGTAAATATTTGGTTTTGAAAAAAAATAAAGTAGTTCCGGAATGTGCAGAAAATCCATGTAAAACTGGTGAAGTAAAATTTAAAGGACAATGTCATCCATATGGAAAATCAGATGCATGTAACTTGAAATTATCTGAGCATCTTGAAATTGATGCTGTATCATTAAGGCCAAAATGTGTTAGAACATCTAAAAGTCCTTTACTTGCAACTGCTATTGAATATACTTCAACGACGACAGCTAAACCCTCTAAAATAAGTATAAAACAAAGAATTAGTTCCGACAGCAGTGAAGTGTCATCGACTGAAATAAATTTACCAAAAGGCGCTAAAGAAATTTATAGAAATGCTCCTTGGTGTCAAAAAGGATCCAAACGACGCATTATAAACTCATGTTCAGAAAATTAATTAAAGAAAAATAAGAACAAACGAAGTGCTAGATTTTAAGAAAAATATTGAGAAGTTAAGGTTTTATAAACAAAATTTCTTGTACATTTTTACATTATTATTGTATTATTACAAAAGAAATTTTTCTTACTTTTATAAAATAATAGCTTATTTTATCTTGAAAAAAAATTATTAGTATTAGAATAACAATAAAATAGTGATATAAAGTTATTTTTTCATTCATGAAAATGCATAACTCAGGACTATTCTGCCATTTAAAATTATAATAAATTATCCAAAAATCCCATTATCAGAAATACTGATTCCTTTTTCCAATAAAAACAAAACATCAAATTAGATTGTAATATTTTTCAAATAATTAATTTCGGTTCATGTTACTTTCACGTATTCATTTCTAAGTGATTTTAAAAAAAGTGTGCTCCTATTCGATATAGAGTAGTCTAAAATGTTTGTTTTTAAAAGTTGCCAATTCAATTCTATGATACAATAACACAAATAAGAAATACAATACAAAAAGGCTTTTTCTTTATATTTTCAAAAATAGAGGCGATCTAAATTCAACATCTTTGTAAAAAACGATCAAAATATTGTTACCATTATTGATAATTATCATAACTTAAAATTTAAAAGTTAACTTCCATCGATAGCTTTGACATTGGAGCTAAATTCCTTAGAAGTTATATTATCATCTACAACAACTTCATCAACGATATCTTCACTAGATGGTTCCATTTTCAATAAGCTACTTTCTAAGGATGCTAAGAATGGACTTTCTTTATACTCTGGCCAATTTCTAAATTGTAAAAATAATGTTAACATTTGACTTGGATTCAATTCACCAAATTCTGTATAAATATTCATTTGGGAAAAGTAATCTTCGGTAGACATTGTCGTACATCGCCTTGAAAAAGCCGGTAAGTCTTTTTCGTTTTCTTCTTCAAACAAATTGTCTACAGATTTTATTCCTTTAGAATTTAAAATTAACCTGGGTCCGCAACCTGGAGCCCATTTCCTAGAAAAATTTATAATGGTATTAAAAATATTTTACAGTTTTCATATTAATCTTACTCCATTAATGGTATAACTCGATTTTTTCTACTAAAATAAGTTTGCTTGACAAAGTGGCACAAAGCTGGCATATCTTCTAATGAGCACAATTCATAAATATTTCGTCTAGGAACTACTTTAACTAAGTATAAAAATTCAGGATCTATTACATTCTAAAATTGTATACATATTATTTTTTTTATTTAGTGTAACATCAGGATCAGTTTACTTTTTTCTTCACTTTCTTTGTTGTTGAATTGTCAAATAACGTGGGCAGAAAATAGAACTTTGGAATTTTACAAATAAATTTATATTCGAACATTATTTGGAAAAGAACGGATGTGGACCGATAATAAAAATAACCACTCTCTTTACAGGAAGTCAAGTGCTGAAAAGCGTAATTTATATTAGAAAATTTTATTTTAGCAAAAAGTTCTTACCACTTACTACATATATTGAAGGCGGAACAATCAAAAGCATTTCAAATCGACCATACGAAAATAAGCTTGTGTTAAAAGTTAAACTGGTAATTAAATGTTTAAAAAAATTTTTCGTTCCAACACCACCACAAATTTTAACTTCACAGTCTAAAAATTTCAAGATTTGCTTAATCAAATACAATTCATTTTTACATTAGGTAATATTATGTAAAGTTCGTTATTTAAAATTGCATTAATATTCAATTGAAATTAATTCATATTTCGCAAACTACCATAGAAATTTTTTTAAATTTACCATCATTGAAACTTGTCTTTGGTATATTTGATAATAACTTAGGAAGTCTAGTTCCGTTGTCCATTTTATCTCGAAATGATAGTTTCCAAAGATTGAAAAAATCTCCATGCTTTATTTCAATTCGATTGCGACAAGCTGCTTGTAGTGCCTAAGTGTAATAAGAAGTAAGTAATAATAATTTTTTTAATATGTATATTAAGCTTACTTCAAGTTTTGGAATAAAATCTGAATGTGTTTCAAATAATAATAATTTTTTAATTTTACTATTCCTCAAAAGATGCCTAGTTAAAAATCCATTTCCTGGATTAACTTCCAATACCACCGAATTTTTTGAAATATAATCAGGAAGTTTTTTTGCGATAACCTGCGCTCCATTGTCACTATTTATATAAATATGATCTGAATATTTATGTTTTTTCTTGGATAGGTTTTTGGGTAAAATTAAATTTTCATCCTCAACCCACGAATTCAACACATTTGTCGTTTTGGAAACTGTAGAGTATTTAGCAAAATTTTCTAAGCAACTAATTCTGTTACGAAAACACCACATGTGTATATAATTTCCTATGTGTTTACATTTCCTCTAGCAAGAACAAATTTTAAGAAATTTTTGTATTTCTTTTAATAATGATACCGCAAATATTTAAAAAAAAAATTTTTAACACAAATTTTACTTGTTCAGAGCAATCAGTTGTGTTTTGTAAATATTGTAAATAACCTACGTGAACGACGAACTTGACAACTTCTTTTAATATTCAATAAAAATTTTTTTAATATTCACAATAGTATTTTGTTAAATATTTTATTAAACCTAAATTATTATATTTGTATAACACTTTTATAATTTTAACAACAATCTGTTTGCTTCACAGATTATTTATTTAATTTTATATGTAACAAGCCAAATATTTTCAATAACATATTCAAAAACATTAAGTTTTTAGATTAATTTAAAATAAAACCATTTTTCGAAAAATTTACAATCAAAATTATGCAATCAAAATTTAAGAGACAAAAATTATAAACTAACTAAGTTAAATTTTAATAAATAATATACCATGTTACACAATTTGATTAAAAAAATAGCTGAATTATTTTTTGACAACGACAACAATTTTTTTGTATATTTTAAAACTAATACGACTTGTCAAAAATAATAATTTTTAGTGAACAAAACATAATCATGAAAGAAAACTTATTGGCTTACTGTAATTGAATTAAAATTAAATTCCGTTTTGTGAAGGAAGGCAACGATTTAACTGATTAATGCTCATGTAAAGTAACATAAGGTTATATGTAATAATTTAAAAATACGAGGTTAAGTAACATTTTCACGAAAATCGAGCTGCTAGAATAAAACATCATTAAATTTTATAAGTTTCTTGCGTAATTTCTATTATACAAAATGTTGAATAAAAATACCAAGAAAAAATTCAATTTCATAAAAGTGCCACAAATAATCTTACATTGTTATTAATAGCGAATAAAAAAATGTTTAATTTCAAAATATTAAAAGATTTTATTATGTTTTATATATGTACGTTTAATTTATTTATTACGTTACGTTTAGTAAACTTTTTGTCAAATTAGAATTTTCAATAAAAGTTTCATTGAATTAATCTACTGCATAATTCACTTAGTAATTGTAGTGATTTTCAAAATACTTGCTTTTTTAGGTAGCAAAGAAAAGGGTAACAAAAAGCTATCAATTGAAAGAATTTTCACAGAAAAGTCAATCACTTTGGTCAGTTATTTAAAGTCAGTCAACAAGCTAAACGCGTACGTGTTGGTAATTTTTTAAAAAGGCTTCGTAGGAATTTGTCAACATTAAAATAATAATTGAAATTTATTAAAAAGAAATTCAAAATTATTTAAAATATTGAATATATTGAATAATAATTAAAAGAAAATAAAATTATAGCCATATGATTAAAGTAAATTTCGGGTTGTGAAAAATCAATTGAAAATAATCGGAAAAGAAAAATTTATGTCAAACCTATAATTTCATTTTTTTGTGTGAAGGAAATAATGAAATTCGAAAAATAATTATTAAAAAGCTAAAAGGAATTGTATATAAAAAATTTGTTTTGAAAACAGCAGATGATAAAATATTTTCAATAAAAACCAACTTAAAAACATGGATACTTCAACAAAACATGGAGGTAAAATTTTTTTTTGACAGTCCTAAAATTATTTTTTCTTCAAAAAATTAAATAGAGGTGGGGCACTTTTTATGTTTATTGATATATACAATAATGTAAAAATAGTTCTTATACAAAAGCGTACACAAAAAAAAAAGCCAGTTAAGATTAATTGAAAATTTACAAGGTTAAAATATATAGTTTCATTTTGAATGAAATGATAAAGAAAAGACAATTTACTTTTAAAAGTGATTCATTTAATTTCTTTTAATGTTTCACAGTTGTATAATATTTAATTTATGTACGTTTATTTGTGAATGTTACCATATGGGTAAACGAATGTGTGAATCTTATTAGTACACTGAATGAATCAACTAAAAAAATAGCAATAACTACCTACCTAACATCATAAAGATAATAACAATATATCTACATAAGTTATTCATAGCTTTTTAATTAAAATGCATATTAACAAAGTTGTAGAGCTTCATTTAGATCATTTTAGTGAAAAGAAATTAATGAAGAATTTAAAAAAGAATTGTAATTAAATTGGACATGAGTTAAAAAAATACCATATTTTTGCCTTTGGATATTATAATACTCATTTAGCTTACAAATCAAACTTTTGTACAAAACATTTTTGGGTCACTAATTATGATGTAGATTTATATATTTTAAGTTAATCACTTTCCAATGTGTATATCTAAGTATATAAGGACCTAGCTTTCTATTTATATATATGCCTAGGCATTTACCCTTTTAAAATGTGGAGTAGGCATATACCTTTTATATAGATGTACAATATAATTAGGTGCTCTTGGTGTTAGGTTATACATAAATAATACATTTTAAAAAAGGGTAAAATTTATTTAAAAATATTCTTATAAATATAAATACATACATATATGTATACATTAGGTTCTTACATTTGTACCTATATAAGAACAGTAAATTTGTGGGAAAATTCTTAATTAAAGGGCTTACGTTAGTTTATAAAATTGAATTAGTTATTTTTATTAGTATGAACTAAGTTTCTGTCTAAGTAACGATTATTAAGATTGAAAATTTAATAATGTTTCATTTATTGTTTCATAAATAAAGTTTTCAATGGCATTAAATCACTTTTATTTAGGCAGTACCTACCTAGGTTTCATGGTAAATAAAATATAATTATCTACTTATCTTTTTTAATAATATTCTATAGATTTAAAGACCTTAACTTTTTAAAGCCTTACTTATGCAAAGTGAGGAAAATAAACAATAGTTATTAGGCCTAGTACTTACTAAAAGATGCTATTAAAGTCAATTTAACTATGCTGCTATAAATATCGTTTAGAGATTTTGGTGAGTCCCATATTATGTACATACCAACCTGACTAGTAGTATTATTATATTTCGTTAGAAAGAAAATATAACAAAAATAAGGAAAAAAGTCAATTGCAATCTAAAAATTGCAAAATAAAAAATAAAGTTTGATTTTTTCTGTTCAAATATTATGGACCTTAAAGTCACAATTTTCTTGTTATTTTTAAAAAGTCTAATCATTTTATGTATTTAAGCGTTTTGTTATTTAAATTTAAGTTTGTATAATGTTTTGTAATCTCATTTACAATTTTTGCTTTAATTAAAATGGAAAATTCACTTTCGTAAGGGAAAAATGATTTCCTTTGATATTCATTTCCTATAAATAAAAAATACAGCCATTATTTTATCAACATTTACGAAATTATTCATGAAATTTACATTATAAATGTTGTGAATCAGAAGTTGGAAAATTTTAAGTAACTTCTAATGATTACAATTAATTTTAGTGGTTTTAATAATTCATTGCTAAGTAATTGTGTAGCCTAATTTGGTTTGGAATTTTTTTATTTAAAGATCCAAATTAATGTTTCAAATTTTAGAAAAGCTTCTTCTGTCTGTTTGAAAATCATCTCATAAGTATTAGAAACAAGATCAATTTGGTAGTTTTGATTTTACAATAGTTAAATCTTTTTTCTAAAACATATAGGAGCCATGTAAAACACGTTTATTATTAATTATAACTTATTCTTATATTCTTATTATTCTATATGAATTGAACTAATCAAACAATGATTAGTTATAAAAATTGAAATTCAAGCATTTATTGCAGATGCTGTTAGTTAGCTCTTAACACAGTCATAAGCAAAATCATAATACTCCTTTGGCTGCTTTTTATACAAGTTAGAATTTTTATGAATTTTGAAAATGAAATTCATATTAAAAGTGAAAGATAAATAAAAATTAAATGTTGTTCTAAATTAGAATTTTAGAATTTGCATATACTTATGTATGTATGTATTTACGAATAAGAATATTAAAAAAATAAAAAAGCAAATATTAATTTATGTTCTTATACTTTTGTGAACTAGTTGACAATATAAACATCTTTAAAATATTCAAATTTATAACAATAAAATAATATTCATATTAAGTATGAATGTTTATTGTTTAAATACATACTTACTCTAAATATAAAATACAAAAATAAAAAATAAATATTTTGTATTTTAAATGGGATTTGAAAATAATTTCAAATTTCATTGTTAAGATCTATCATACATATTAATGAAGTTTTTATACATAACTACTTGTTTGTCTATGTATCATGCATATTATATATTATGTATTTATTTATATTTTAATATTTACTGTGTTCATCTTTTATTTTCACTGTGTATATATACATACATAAATATACTTAGTCATAAGTTTTATAAATTTTAACTAGTTAAAGAAGGCGGTTGAGTTCGAGAATGATGTCACAATGATAAGTTTGTCATCATTTTCATTAAATACATAAATATATATATATATATATATATATATATATATATATTTATGTATGAATTCTTCTATTTATGTATATTTCTAATTATTAAGTATTTATGTGAATATTAAAATTTACTTGAGAAATATAGCAAATAAAAAGTCCTATATATAGGAATGCTATAGGTACGAGTATAAATAAGAATGAATGTTGGTATATTTTTTCTTTTCTCTACAACTTACCGTCCTAATTCTTTTTATATTGAATATACATATATCAGCTGAGTAAACTTGCTTAATATTCATAGCATTATCATAGCATAATATATAATTAAGTATAACTAATTTTGGGTTTCACCAGGATATTTTAAAAAGTCATTGTTCTAAATACCCATATTTATCAATAAATGCTGAAAGAACAAAAGAAAAGGAAAACTTTAAATCACAAAAATTATAATTTAGTTAATTCCTTATTTTAAAGTATCGAAATGTTTTTATTTTTTTAATGAATTCATAATATTTTCATACAATCATAATAAAAACTAATAGGGATGGAACTGGTCTGAAGGTAGTATAAGTGAAAAAAAATTTTCATTCAAATTGTAATCGATATAGTAGATTCCCGGTTTCGAATGAGAGCTATATATTGATATAACTTATGTTTGTCAAGGTACGGAAAAAAAGAATAAGAAAAAAAAGAAACCGCCAAATGGTTCTCTCCGTTGAATTACCATAAGTATGTATGCATTGTGATTTCAAATTACAGGAACATATTGTTTCTACCCAATTATTCGATCAATATCACAGTCATTTATTTCGATCCTTTTTTAATTATATTTTTAATTCTTCATAAATTTAATTTTTTTCACAAGAGACAGGGATCGAAATAATTTCTGAATTCTGTAAATGCAGAAAAATAAAGACTTATTTATTTCTCTCCTCTATATATGTCGCATTATATGTCGTACTAACCTTTCAAATTAACTCAATTGAATTAATTTGCTAAATTTTGTAGTAAATTTTATCCTATAAAATCTTAAATTTTTAAATGTTTTGTCGTACTAGAATAAAACATTTTGTTGTACTTCTTCCTTCTCCAGAGTTATTACCAACCAAAGTTCACAACGTATCGTACATTTATACATTATATTATGCTCTTATGCTTTAACTCAGCTCGTAAGCATTCTATATTGATATTTCAAGCAGAACTTATTTGAAAATTATCTAAAATATTTCTCTCAAATTTACACAAAATGAAATTTCCATTAGAATTTTATTTAGACCTCTAAAAAAAATGCATATATATGTATATATACAAAAATGTGCAATTGCTAGACTTAAATTTTGTAAAGTGAAATGTGCTATTTTACAAACTATATAAAGTTTACTTGACTGCATTTTATAAAAATATTCTAACATCACATTTATCTTTTTGTTGGCTTTTGATAAAGTAATTAATTTGTATTCAGTTATCAATACAATTAATCAATTTACTTAAAATTATTGATAATATTTTGAAGTTTAGCAAATGAAATTATTAAAAGAAAATAAAATTAATAACAATTTAATAGCCTTCATGTCAAAATAAAATAGTTATTAATCTCGTATAATAGTTATATATATTGTATATAAATTATGCTATTGAGAATTTATTATTATTTTATTGAACTTCGAAATAAATAAGGGATTGTAAATATATATATATACAAATGTGGATATGTATATATTTGATAGGTAGATATAACTATATAATATTAGTTAACATTGTACAATCATAAAGCAAAACAAAAATTCTGACCTTTTATAACAAAAATCATATAAGTATATGAAAAAAAATCAATAGAATGTGGGAGAAAATTACGATTTTTATTTTTTGATAGTTTTTTTCGCTAATCATTATGGTATATTCTTTAATTTGTAACTATTTATTAGTTTTTAACATGGTTCAACCTTGATAAGTATTTAGAAAATTTTCATTTTTAAAATATTAAAGTATTAAAAAGTGGCTTCTTCCAATTTTAAAAATTGATTTTTTCTGTTTTTAAAATTTATAAATTATTTTACTTAAATGAATATTTTCAAGTTGAACAACTCGTATTTTAAGTAATTGCTATATAGAAGAAAACCTAATGTTTCTGACTATAACTTCAAGAATTTCAATAACTTTAAAATTTTATATATGGAATTTTCCAGTACGTATATGTATGTATATATAAATATAAAAAATCGAA